AAAAAGAAAAAGAAAAAAAGGCCTACACACATCACACCACCTTCCTTTCGTTATTTTCGATTTTTTTCTTTTTTTTTTCTCTCCAGATCTGAAGCAGCAACATCAACGTGACTACAGTCTGATTCGAATGTGACTATTCAATTTTTTTTTGGCTACAGTCTGGTTCGAATGCCGTCAAGACTTTCTACGGTGTCAAACCTCCCAAAAAACTCATGTTGTCGCCTCATACATATCACACCACCTTCCTTTCGTTATTTTTAATTTTTTTCTTTTTTTTTTTCTCTCTAGATGTGAAGCAGCAACATCAACGTGACTACAGTCTGGTTCGAATGTGACTATTCGATTTTTTTTGCTACTTTCTGTTTTCGTGTTCTTGGAAGTTTCTCAGCAACTCATGATTACTTTTGGCATTTAAGGTTTTTTCATTGTGATTGTGTGTGTTTAAATATTAGAGAGAGAGAGGGAGCCTATCATCATACTTGAGTTAGTGGAGTCGATATATATGTATATAATGATTTTTTATCATTTTTTTTATTTATGTATTTTTCAATTTCTCCTTCTTTTTTCTTTTTTTCCAAATCTGAAAATACAGTTCAAATATGTACAGTAGCAGCAACATGACTATAGTCATATTTATGTATTTTTCGAATATGACTACTGTTGAATATCATTGTAGTCATATTCGAATATGTTCTATATTCTCGTTTCAAGTTGACTTGTAATAACAAGATTCAAATTGTGATTTTTTGTGATCTTTTTGTGTGGATGTTGATTGCATTGTTTCCCTAAACAATAGGGAATTTTAGTTGTTTTATATAATTTGATAAACATCACTTTACCTCACTATATAATTGGAATTTTGAAGTTACAAATTTTAAAAAATGCAATATAAAGAAAGAATATGACTACAGTTGATATAGTCACATATAGTCATATTAGACTATAGTCTTATTCAACTATAGTCATATTCGGCGTAGTACACTTGTCGGGGAAAAAAAATCAATTTTTCGTTAAAAAAAATTAAGAAAATATGCCTATAATCTTATTCAACTATAGTCATATTCGGCGTAGTAAACTTGTCGGGAAAAAAAATCAGTTTTTCGTTTAAAAGAATTTAAGAAAATATTAAAAAAACATGAAAAAAAAATAATTAAAAAAAAAACTTCATCTTGCACGTGAGTTTTGATTTTGTATGTGAAGAAGCAATTTTTCTTTTTCTTTTTTAATTTGTTGGCTGATTTTATGGAGTATATTAAGGTGATTTTTTATTTTTTTAATTAGTTGGCTAATTTCAAGGGATTTGAATATTGAGTTGGAAAAAAATTACTATTATTTTGGCATTATTTAAGGAAAGGGACGTGTATTACTGGGATGGATTATTTTTGAGTAGGAGATTTTCTAATTTCAGAAGGGTAGTATTGGAATTAATATTTATAGGGGTTTATCACAAAGAAAGATTTAAGGGTTGGACATATCACCATTTATTACTCATCCAAGGGGTTTATTGCTAAAGACCCCTTTATTAATTTCTTTGGCTTATTATATTTATTTACGATATCAAAGGGAATATAACTATAGTTGGTTGAGTGTTTTTGTATGCTTGACCGAGGTGGGACCCAGGTAAGGGGGCGGTCAATCACGTGACGACAGTGGAATAAATGTTTTACATGAGTAATTTTCTACTGTTTTTAATAATCACATGGCATAACGTGAAAAAACAAATTAACAAACTTTTGTTATTCTCACTTTAGTCGGCAGCAAAATCCCAACCCTACCTGTGTTGTTTTTATGAAAGAAAAAACATAATTAGGAGATATTTATAGCTAATGCAATCTAACAGTGAACTCCAATCATACTTTTCGTATTATTAAGCTACAGTAATTATAAATATAAATTTGTCTTTAAATCATATTTACACCTACAATATTTGCTGGACTGGTGGTTCAATCATATCCCTAATAAAATAAAATAGAAGCTCAATAATTTAATAACATCGTTTAAATATTTTTCCGGTAATAAAATTCAATTAGTCCCGACTATATTAATTTATTGAGTTCTGATGTATGTTTTTTTTTAATATTGCCCTTCAACTGTTAATTAAACTTGCCAGAATTACATTGTCCAACGATGAACCTCTTTACTTTAGTATTTAATCACCTGAAATGAACAATGACTGCTTTCACCTACCTCAAAACAAAAGCAATACCAAAGGGATTCCTTCTTGTATTTTTATTTTAATTAAATAAAGTTTGACTTGAAAATTGTGTAGCTATATATTAAAGAATGAACAGTTGGTTACTGTGTTACCATATTTACTCTACAAGCTAAGAGTAAACAGTACATATATACAAACAAATAGTCCTTTGTATAATAATGTGAAGTATTATATATACACCTGACAAACTATGAAACCCTCTAAAATCAACCAAAAAAGAAAATTTTGACATAGTAAATGGTTGTAATAAAATGATAATGACAGGAATAAGGGTTTGTAGGGTTGTTCAATTTTGTACATTAGGAACTTTTGTCATAGACATGTGATAATTTCGTTTAGGGTTGGGAGGATTTAATCTAATGTACACTAATCTTAACTAATAGACACCTAATAATTACTCTTAATCTAGGCTTGTGTCCATTTGGCATATGGGCTTATAATTGGATCAAAGGCCCATCTTTTATAATTAACATTACACACTTATAACACGATCCATTCATATACACACAAACACACACACACCCACATTGATATGTGTAGATCAACGGTAAAAATCAGCTGTGGACGTAGCATTGCAATAACCCTTCTAACACTTTCGGAACCTTAATTTATGCACAAACTATCAGAAACAATTACATTACTTCATAAAGAACCAATGGCCAATCATTAGTTATAACCACTAATTTGAAACGAACTTCCAACACGTTTAAAAATTCTGAAAACAACAGTCGAGAAAGAAGAAACAAAAGCATTGGGGATGCCACACAGAAAAGATTCACAACGAAACAAAAAGGTAATAAACCTGTAAATCCATAACATACTGTCTAAATCAAAAATTCTCAAATTCAGCAGAAATAAAATATGGGAAGGAGAAAGTAAAGTCGAGCTACTAGAGTTATTAAAGTCGTTCCCAAACCGTCTGATCCCATAAAAGTCTTGGAAGATAAAAGCCAAAAACGGTAAACAAAACCAATTAAGAATATAAAATCTAACAGCCATAAGAAATAGAGAGACTTGAGTTACTCAGAAACACCGAGCCACTTTGTGAAGTTGTCGAACTCTGTGTAGTCACTGTCTGAGATCATTGTCTTGTACCACTGCTTACTAGCAGACTGGATAGCTGATGCCTCCTCCTGTAAGAGACAAACAAATCAAGGCAGAGACATAAATCAGTCCTCGAACTTGTACGAGGTAAACAAAACCGGAGACAACATATATTTTGGCGCATATCTTTAATAATTAAATGCACAAGAATTATGATATACTTTCTCGGCTAAATTTGGGATGGTAATATCACTAGTCATTAGATATAAGCACTTACACTTCAACTTCTTGATTCAGAAGTAAAATAGTAAATAACAACCGTAAGTAAAACAAGGTACAATCGACGAAGAGCTCTGCAACGAAAGGAGATTGTTCTAAAAGTGTACTGATGTCTAAGATAGCATATGAAACAAATATTGTTCTCTTGTAATATGGCAACATAGATACAACACTTAGAAATGAGGTCCTCAATGAAAGCCAAGAGCAACAAATTGAGTTCACAAAATATAAGTTATAAGAAAACAGCTAAATTAACCCATGTTTCAAACCAATCATATTAGTTATATTACTTTAAAAATGCACATACTACGAACTCAAACAATGCAGAACAAGGCACACACATAACCAAACTAAACTGTTTTCGAACGTATGATAATCAATATATCCCAATCAATTTCTAGAACAATTCACACAATACGATGGCATTTAAACATAAAGAAGACGTAAGCCGATATAGAGACATATATAGACATAACAAACATACATAATAATGCATCAAGAATAAACACAACAGCAATAACAATCAGCAGACACAACAACAAATTAACAGTGAACATAAAAAAAAAGCATACAGAAGGAAATCGATACCTTAGTGATCGGCTTCCTCTTCTTGTCGAGCTTCTCCTGCTTAGCCTTGACCCTCTGCGCCTCAGCCAATAGAGCCATCCTCTTGGCAGCCTTAGCATACGGGTTGAGCTTCAACATCACGTTGAGATTCTTCAATGGGTTCTTCTTCAGCTGAGCTCTCTTGATATCCTTCTTAATAGGCCTCACAACAGACTGCACCTCATCGGAGTTGATGATCCTTGCCAGGTCAGCATTGACCATCTTTGACCTCGGCAAGACATACCCCTTCTTCTTCTCAGAAGTCTTCTCGAAAGTGCCATAAATCTCGTCCAACTTCTCGAAAGCAGATTTGGTCCACACGATGAACCTGCCAAGATGACCACCGGGAGCAAGTTTGAGCAAATTGAGACGAGAAACATGCGCGAGTTCGACTCCGGGGATATTCCTGAAAGCCTTCACAAGTTTCGCACCCTCGGTTCCGTACACAACGAGGGGACCTTTCCTGGAAATGTAGCGACGGTTCCTCATTTTCCCCTTTCCGGCACGAATGGCGTGGCTATCCTTAGCTTTCTCGACATCGGCGGATGCTCCGATTTGCTTGAGGATTTTGAGTGCAGCGCTGGTCTTTTCAATTGACTCAGCTGAGTCAGAAACAACCAGGGGCAACTCGGGAACTTCATCGATCTTGTGTCCACGCGCCATCACCAGGGAAGGAACGGCGGAAGCAGAGATCGCCGAAACGATGGCGTGGCGCTTCTGAGTAACATTGACCTGTCTATGCCAGCGGCGCCAGATCTTAGTCGGAGCGAACATGCGTCCACCACGGCACATGTTTCCGAAGGCTCCCTGCCCTGCGCGGTGGGTACCACCTCCGGGAACACGGGGGATACGAGAAACGGCACGGCCGGTACCCCACGATTCGGCGGAGGTCTGGTGTCCGGCTTTCTTCGAAACGGCGTAGGGCTGGCGGGAGTTATTGGAAATTTGGCCGTGCGCAAATGTGACCACGTCGGGGCGGATCGAAGCCTTCATCACATCTGGAAGAGGAACGGAATTGGCGGCAGCGCCATCGGTGGCCATGTCGTTCTCTAGGGACTGAACGGTGACGAGAGGGCGGGCGGCGGCGGCGGCCATTTCGTGAGGTTTGGAGTTTGTGGCGCTGAAGCTAGGGTTTTGTGGGGAATGTCAAAATCTAGGATTGGAGTGAAGTGAGGAATATATAGTCTGGTGGCCGGGAAACGATGATTAATTTACGGAAAATGCCATTGGGTTCGTTAAATTAGGGTTTCGGCCTGTTTAAGAAATGGGTCTCTCTAATTTCTTTGGGCCTTTCATCATTAAATCATAAAATGATTTTGTGAGAGAAAAAAAAAAAGAGAAAAACCCCTCAAGTTTGCACTAATTTCATATTTGGTCCATCATATTCACAATAATACATTTGGTTCCTCATGTTTCAAACATTTAACATTTTTAGTCATTTATGTTAATTTTTCGTTAGTACTAACGAAATCAACTGTGTACCCATCACTTAATTATCCAACTAACAAAGTTAATTTGACGGAAAGACAAAAGTATTAAATTATTGAAATATAAGAGACCAAATGTATTTTTGTGATCATAAGGAACCAAATAAAAAAGTAGTACAAATTTGAGTGGTGAAAACTATAATTTTCTAGAGGAAAAAAAAATGATACAATTAATTAGTTAGCGCTTTTGAGTAATAATGAAATACTATTTAAGAAAGAAAAAAAGCCAAAAGTCGGGTTTTCAACGACAGCGACATAATCAATCAACGGCTCAAACAGTTTTCCCCACAATTACTTATTTGATAAACCAAATAATTTGCGGCTGAAATTTCAGAAAGATATTACACCAAATGGATATTCGTCTTCGAATCGAGAGCCTCTATTCTCATCAATCATGGAATTCCAATTCAAATTCAAATCAAAGAATCCTCAAACCAAGCTGCGCCAAAAAGCCACCTCCCCAGCAAAACGGCGACACCAATAACAACAATAAAGGTATACATATAATTTTATATATGTACATATATATATATATTTTTTGGTGAATTAAACAATATGGAAAATATTAATGTGAATATGTAGGAGATAAATCGTCGAGAGATTGGGACAAAGCATGGTCAAGCTTCAGAAAGCAAGGAAAGAAGACACTGTTCTCGGATTTCTCGCCGAACAAGTACGTAAGCTGGAATCCGAAGCCGTCGGACTTCCCACTGTCGGAAGAGGTTGATCCGATAAGAAGAACAGAGAGGTCAAATCTTATGTTATGGACCAGCCCCAGGTTTACTCTGATTGGAGCTATTGTTATTGTTAGTTTTCTTCTCGTGTACACGATTCTGGCACCGATTAAATAAACGGTCAGTCGATTCTTACCGAACAGGAAAATATTGCTGTAAATTTGTTCTTTTTATCGAATTTATGTAATGAAGAACACGCATATAGATATCATACATAAGGTTTGCGACTATGATAATATATACGAGATTGAATATAAGTACTTTATTATAAATTTAATGAACTCCACCTCAAACATAGGATTAAAAGACCAACTTCAACGAGATTTAACCGGATACAAAGTACAAACCACAAAGACTTGCTAGTAGTAAGCCTGGGCGTGATGAATGAAACCTCGGGTTTTGGGAGCCTCTCTTGCATTTTGTAACTTGAGTCGAGAGGGGCTGGCAATTAAACGGTATTTCTAACTTCAAGTGTCGGGTCAAAAACGGGATTAGACTGTATATTGTATAGCTTGGGATTCACGCATTGTCCCCTGGTTCTTTGATTTGTAGTGCGGTTCTTGATAGGCTAGCTTCCAGTTCATTTAGCTCGTCTATGTCAAGATCATCATCATCATCGTCGTCGTCACCATCATCATTGTCAGGAATACCTTCTCCATCAAGTTTAGCTGATGTGGAAGAGCTTGGTCTATCAATCGGAGGATCTTTGCTAGCCTGAATACACGAGTATGCGAAGAAAATTAAAGAATTAACAGCGGAGAAAGAAATGTCAAAACAACAAACTAACTTGGTGGAAAAATAATGTTTCATCATTTAAGAAGGAATAACAATAAGAACGAGAATACTTGAGAGCCCACTGAATTAAAATATAAAAACACGCTCTTCAAATCGATTCACAGAGAGAAGACATAATCGCTAATCAACCAGAATAGCCATGATTCCTCAAATTTCCAGCCTTTTCTATGGGAAGAGTACCCTGAGTGTAATCGGTTTTTGCTTGTAATTTTGACAAACAATTGAGTGAATACACACAAAAAAATATAATATATCATGACGCACAGAAATTCATTAAATTCCAGGCACTATAAGATGAAACATAGAAGAACAACTGGCGAAACAGTTACCTTCTGATCTGCATCAGCAGGTTCTTCTCTTTGGTAGTCGTCATATGCTTCGGCATCATCAATAAATAAACTGGCGTCTGAAAGGAAAAGCTCACGACCACTGGGAGACAAGGAAGGAAATTATGAGCTAAATAACTCCTGTATACATACATACATACATACATACATACATACATAAAGGTAAAGACATTGTATAAGAATAGAAAATTTACTAAAGAAGACTCGCCTCATACGGTCATTCTTAGCTCTATCTGCTCTCTGTGCAGCCAGACCAGCTTCTCTCTCCTCTACCTTTTTCTTCTTCCATTGCATGAATAACTCCGGAGTCATAGGAGTTGTAGTAGTTACTTTGGCGCGCTGAAAATAGATTTTTAAACCATTAGCATAACTATATTGAGGTATGGTGGATGTGGGGGAAATCTACGTTAGTCAGTACTACCTGATTTTCTATCTCCTCCTCTATCGGTATTTTGTTACTTTCCTCCTCTAAAAGAGCTTTCATCTGAGATTTTAAGATATATCCAGGAGGAAGTGCATGTCTGTATTGACATTCTTTACCACCGTTTGGACATACCCAAAACCAACCGTACTGCTTCTTCTCCACTGCTTCCAGAAAGTGTTTACATACCTATAAACAAGATGGGGACAAAGGCGACAAACCGCAACTATTAAATTTGGTATTTAAAAAGCACAAAGACAAAACATCCATACAATATGTCATAAAACTAGCATAACAGAAGAGATTCCGAAAAACAAAGAAATGGAAATAAATTACAATGCAACCTGCATCAAGTAGAACGGCATTCTTCTACCCTTCGTAACACATAAAATGAGAAGATTTTTTCTTATTTGATTTTGACATTCCCTTGATTAGATATGGCACTACGCCACATACAAATAATCGTTTATAAAATGAATTGAGACATTATTAATGACCTGGCTGATATTGACTCCAGGTTTCTCTTTTCATACACAGGCGAAACATAAAATTCTTCAAGCACATACTTTATTACAATCTGGCGGTTCTCATTCCGCTGAAGATGCGCATATCAATACAGTAAATTAAAATATTCTGAAATTATTTTACTATGTTTTCCTGGCGCAGCTTCAATGTTTCATTAGTTTGACTATCACATGCATATATAAACCAATATTCTTTAGTTGAACTTCACATTAGAGCTAGAAAGAATCAATACAACAACCTTGGAACTGAACGTATGCCCTGATCATGGCAAACATCTTTTCCTGATTGACCTATTCGCCATTGTCGACATCATGAGATAGTTAAAATGATGCTTAGCAATTTATTCAATAAAATCAAGCTCAATTGTCTTTGTTTTGCATGAGTTTATGAAATTCATGCTCAGCAACTAAAAAACCTCATGAAGTAAAAATCCACAAAGGCAAATATATAGAATTGACTTAGAAAAGATCCAAGATGTAATTCTCTCACTATCAGGAGATATTTTAATAAGAAAGTTTAATGCCATATAAGAAGGCTTACTATATCAGTAGGCTTGTTCTTGTTGTACTCCTTGCTCTTCGACTCAACAACCTTCTCCAATTTCTCTAGATCCCATTCATCCATAGTTTCTTTTTTGTTTTTGATACAAAGAAAAGGATTAAAAATATTAATAGAAAATTACAAATACAAAGGATAAGAAATATTTGAAATCAAGTTTAAAAAAAAAAAAAAAAAAATCAACTGTCAACCTTCATCGTCACGCTTATCGCTATAGATATCGATCTTCTCTCCTTTCCTCTGCACATTCAAGTCATGGGAGAACTTGCACTTAAAACCTTTCGCACATTGCCCCACCTTAAAATGCTCACACAGAATCGACTTAGGATCGACGCCTGAAAAACAAACGGCATAATGCATGCAGTATATTGGTCACTCATCTACCCATGCTATCACACACAAATGAATGTAAAACTTCTACATATCCTCACTCTAAATGACAAATAAAACAACAAATATCCTAGGAAAACATATAACATGATAAAAATCATTTAACATACATAAAATTCTCAGCAAAAATTTTCTTTAATTTCGAAAAATCACGTGAAAAAACTAGATACAGAATTTACCAGGTGGAACTTTAGGTTGTTTCACGGCGATCTTAAACAACTCACTGAGCTCCTTCTCTCTTGCCTTCTCCTCCTCTTTCTTTTTCTGTTGAATTAATTAATCACGGATGATCAATTATCAAACAATTAAAAAATAATTAATAATTACGACGAATTGATGATCGATCACCTGTGCGTTGAGTTTGGTGGCGTCGGGTTTGGGCTGAACGGATTGTTTGAGGGAGTTGACGTATTTCTGAACATTCTTCGACTTGTTCTTATTCTTCAATCCAAACGTCTTGTCCTCGATTACCTTCTGTTTCTTCGCCACATCCGCTTTAGATTGCTGCTTTGGAGGCATTTTCTTCTTCTGTTTCTATCTTTGAATTAAATTTTCTCTCTTCGAAAAATCGAAGATCAATTGAAAAATCGACAGATAAATTAATTGCTGGATGAGTTGCCGGCGCCGGAGATTGAAGGAGGATTTGTGCGAGAGATTTTTGGTTGAGGATATGTGCTCCGGGAGCTTCCAGAAACTACAGAATTATGAAGTTACGTTATTACCCCTTCCCCGTAATTTTAACAGGTCTGGACTATGAACAAACGGGCCCACTGGTCTTAGTTTTAACTTTTAAACCTACACTAGTTTAAGAATCGGGCTTGGTTGCAAAATTGGTCCCGTAATTTTAACGGGTCTGGACTATGAACAAACGGGCCCACTGGTCTTAGTTTTAACTTTTAAACCTACACTAGATTAAGAATCGGGCTTGGTTGCAAAATTGGTCCCTTACTATTTAATATCTTACTATTTAATATTTTTGGGGAACATAATGGCTACAGAATTCTATTTTACGTTATTACCCTTCCCGTAATTTTAACGGGGGACATAATGGCTACAGAATTCTATGAAGTTACGTTATTACCCTTCCCGTAATTTTAACGGGTCTGGACTATGAACAAACGGGCCCACTGGTCTTAGTTTTAACTTTTAAACCTACACTAGATTAAGATGATCAATTGGTATATGATAGAGTTCCCGTAATTTTAACGGGTCTGGACTATGAACAAACGGGCCCACTGGTCTTAGTTTTAACTTTTAAACCTACACTAGATTAAGATGATCAATTGGTATATGATAGAGGCTATTCCTCTTTGCTATTCCTCTTTTCCATATCCAGCAAATTGTATGATAGAGGCTATTTTTCCATATCCAGCAAATTGTATGATAGAGGCTATTCCTCTTTTGGTACCACGTATAAATCAAAAGAGTATCAAATATAATCGGTTATTTATATTATCCCAAACCTAATATGGAGCGGAACCGACAATAGATCTCCTGCATTAGATAGGTTTCCTAATTAAAATCCCTATATTTCTTTGGATTATCTTCTATATAAATATCAATACATCCCTCCCATCATCTCCATTGTAATTACGAACTGAAATTGGACATAAAACTTATATGGTTGAAATCAGAGCTCATTTTATCATGAAAAAAGTTATCTGGTTGAAATCAGAGCTCGTTTAATCATGAAAAAAGGGGCCGACGATGAAATCATGAGATTGTCAACTCGGAGAGATACAAAATTGAATATACAAAATTGAATACATTTTTCCATATGATCTGACTACGTTGTTGGATGATCGAAGAGGAATATTGGATGACCGAAGAGGAAGCACTTGTCTTGGAAGCTAAAGTTGACAAACAATGGCCAAGCTAAAGTTGACAAACAACAAACAATGGGCAATGAGGACCCTACCCCTATTTATACTAGATCACCTTCTTAATGGACGGTGGATATCTAATTGATCTAACGGCTATGAGTTGTTCACTAGAACACTCAAAAGAATTCCTACAAAATATCTACAAAGGGTTCTAGAATATTTTCTAGAATCCTCCAAGAATCTCTACTTTTCTATACATTTGGGCCTAACCCTATTTGGCTTAAGTTTTGGGCTTCCTTAACCTCCCAACCCAAGGGTAACTGGCAAAGGGTTGGGCCAAAATTAGCGGGTCGTGACAACGGTCCAACAAGATGGCGAGGCGATTGGTTGTGCCCATGAGATGGCTATTAGAGTTGAAAATTTGGTCCCAATAAGCACGTGGGATCGGAGTTTGATATCGTATAATCCCTATATTGCGTGTTACTTGTTCGAGTTACAAAGGTTCAGAGTCGAAGATCTTATAGAAGCCGATGTTTGCGATATATGTCGGAAAGATCCGAGGATCGGGGGTTCAGATGTCCGTTATGCCTTGCTGCAATCACTCTTTTCATTCGAATTGCGTTTCTCAATGGATTTTGGCCGACAACATGCGTCCTTACTGCAATTCTCCTTTACAAGACCAGTTATATCAAATTTTCTACTTTATTTAGGGTTTTCCATTTTAATAGAACCTTACTTACTACTTACTAGTGTTTTTTTTTTAATAAAAATAAACGATTATTTTTTCTTTAGCAGCTTAACTTTTTAATTTCTTATATGTTTTTTTTATTTTCTTTAAATATCAAACACTTTAGTATAACTCATAAACCAAATTTCGGTAAAAAAATTTTAATTTCGGTAAAAAATTTATCATCCGCATGAAAATATGGTCGGGAAATAAGTTGGGCTTTTACATTGAAGCCCAATTTACTAAAAGAAGGGATTACAGATGAAGGGCAGTGACTGGGTCCAGGTCCAAGCACCCATAATAGTTTGAACTTTGGAGGCAATTTTATTATTTATTTTAATATTTTGTTACTCCACTAATCCTAACCGAAATATACAAAATATTAAATCAATTTAAAAATATATTATTATCCAGCCCATCCTTGTAGTTAATAATGTGAATAATTATCCAAAAATAGTGTTTTTAATTTTTTATACATAAGTAAATATTGACAAATTATAAGATTGATTATATAAATTTCCAGGTAGTTGAAATATTGGTATAATAAATATTTATTTGGTTTATAAGTGGGATTGAAGTAAAATATCGAAAATGCCCTTGACTCTCCAAAATAAAGAGAAAAATGAAAATAACACATTGGCTTGTTGTATTAGGCCCCGTTTGGTTGTCAGATAAGCATGATTAACTAAATAGTTGAACTTAATTTGATGTTTGGTATCCTGAATAAATTTTCGGGTCGACCCGCCAAAATTATATAATCATGGTTTATTTTATCTTATCTTGCCTTCTAATGAGTTTTTTTGGACGTTTCAAGCTCCAATAAAATAATTGATCTCATTAGATTATTTAATCTTATCTTCGCTAATCTTATCTTGCCAACCAAACGGGCCCTTAGGCTATTAGCAGAAAGCAAGTGTTGAATCCGGCGTCAGAGGAGAATCGCAGCCTCTGCAATTCGAGTTTCGGCCGGACAAAATTGACAATTGAAAACGAGCCACGACAGTGACGAGACCATGTGAAAATCATCACTTGCCGGCGGCTGAGGGCGAGAGGGCTCTGTAGTCGTAAGCAGTAAGCCTGGGCGTGATGAATGAAACTTGAGTCAAGAGGGGCTGGCAATTAAGCGGCATCTCTGACTTCAAGTGTAGATTCAAAAACGGGATTAGCCTGTATATTTTATAGATTGGGATTTACACATTGTCCCCCGATTCTTTGATTTGTAGTGCGGTTCTTGATAGGCTAGCTTCAAGTTCATTGAGCTCGTCTATGTCAAGATCATCATCATCATCGTCGTCGTCACCATCATCATTGTCAGGATTACCTTCTCCATCAAGTTTAGCTGATTTAGAAGAGCTTGTTCTATCAAGAACCGAGAGATAAATTAATTGCTGGATGAGGAGATTGAAGGAGGATTTGTGCGAGTTAAATTGGTGATCAAACAAGCTCGAACAACCATGTCTTCGTTTCGACTCGTTTATACGAAGTGATTAAATTGGTGATCAAACAAGCTTGAACAACCATGTGTTCGTTTTGACTCGTTTATACGAAATGATTAAATTGGTGATCAAACAAGCTTGAACAACCATGTGTTCGTTTCGACTCGTTTATACGAAGTGGTTAAATTGGTGATCAAACAAGCTCGAACAACCAATTGTTCGTTTTCGACTCGTTTATACGAAGTGATTAAATTGGTGCATCCCATTTCACAACAGAAGCAATTTTCTACCCTTCAAGCATTTCAAATGACTTACAAAATCAATACATATCTTTTTTGTAAACACATTACCTGAAAGTGAATCCTTACAGATCATCAAAGCCAATCCTGCTGCTGCAGTTTCAACGGCAGATAAACCTCGGTAAGGTACTGAAACCCGAACGAACTCAACGCCTGAATCTCAGCCTTCTGCTTCGACTTCACCATCAGATTCAACTCCTCAACCCAACCCGGATTCTTCTTCACAAAATCCTCCTCCAACAAATCCCTCCCAGTCTTCAAATCCTGCTCCGTCATAGGCAATCTACACTGCTCCGGAATATTATACTTATCGAGATCGCTAGGCCTAACCCCCAACCACTTTATATCAGGTGTCGTCAGATTCGCACTGTCGTACGACATGTTCTTCGACCCGCACCCGTAAACGGATAGGATCTTCAACCCGTACGGGTCGCTGTCCACCAAGGCGAGAACCGGAAGCTTCAGCTCCATTTTCATTTTCCTCAGGAACAACCTCGTGGCGACGTCTGGCTGGCCTTTCGCGGTCACGATTATGCAGGGGAATCTGTTGTAGAATCTATCTTCGGCTAGCCTCATGTAAGCAGCGTCTTTCTCTACGAGGAGTATGAAGAGTGCATCGCTCTGCATATCTCCGACTCTGTCTATGTTTGGGGGAATTGCTTTTCCCCCCATCCCCATTTTCGTGCAGTCGATCATATCTCCGTTGTCGCTGAAGATTAACCTGCCGACGACGACCCCCTTCTCGGCGGCGACGACGTTGAGGCTGGATCTGGTGCAGCCAAGGATGCAGGACACGTCGTCGAGTATGGCGTCGGAGTGAGATTGGTCCTGGAAGAGCTTTACGTCAGTGTAGAAGAGGTCACGTTTGGTGACGTGGATGTTCTTCAGGCATAGCTGGTGGATGAGCTGGATTATGCGGGTGGTGATGGTGGATTTCCGGACGGAGGAGACGTTGGCGAAGGGGCGAATGGAGGATTTGTCCTTCAGGACGATCCGGTCGAGCTCGGGGACGTAGAGCTGGTTGGCGGCGGCGCGTGACGGGACGGAGAAGGAGAATCCGTTGCCGGAGAGGATTGAGTGCGCGAGTGAGAGGGCTAGCGACTCGATGGTGGATTGGACGGAGGAGAGGGGGAGATCCGCGACTTCGCGGCAGGCGGTGGCGAGGTTGAGTTCGGAGAGTGGTCGGGGTTTTTCGGAAGCGGCGGTGTTGGCGGCGGAGGATTTTAGGGTTTTGAGTATCTGGAGGATGTTTGAGTCGGGCTTCAGCTTCGATTTGAACTGAAGCGTATCCGAGTCGGAATCGGAATCGGCGGCTGCACGGCGGCGCTTTTTCTTGTCGGCCATTTCTTCGAGAGTGAGTGAGTGACCGTGAGGCGGGAAAATGAGTGCAATGGGGAAAATGTGTTAGGGCTTGGGCCCTTATATGCCTACAAGTTGTATTATACGACGTCGTTTGATAGCTGATATAATTATCTATATGGGTCATTAGCAATAAACCCCTCATATAGATAATAAATGGTGATATGTCCACCCCTTAAATCTTTCTTTGTGATAAACCCCTAGAATTTGTATTTCCAATTCTACCCTTATGTCAATTAATTCTAGGGGTTTATCACAAAGAAAGATTTAAGGGATGAACATATCACCATTTATTATCTATATGAGGGGTATGAACATATCACCATTTATTATCTATATGAGGGGTTTATTGCTAATGACCCCTCCTAAAACTTTGCTTTCAAATTTCTAAAAAATTGCTACCAAATAAAAAAAAAATGATTTTTTTTTATTTATTTTACTTTTTATTATTTTCGGATTTGTTAGCCATTTTTTTTTATTTATTTTTATTTTTTAATATTTTTTCTAATAAAAAATATTTTTTATTTTTATTTTTTAAACAAAAAATTGAATTTTTTTTTCTCGACAGATTTACAACTCCGAATATGACTATAGTTGAATATGGCTATTATGTGACTACGCTGTGTATAACAGTGTAATTAACATATTGTAGCAGCATAATCATTAGGATAACAGTAAGAATATGGCTATTATGTGAATGTGAATATGACTATTATGTGAATGCGACTGTGCTTTGTAAAACATTATAATTAACATACAGTAGAAGCATGTTTCTTAACAACAACACCGAGAATATGACTATTATGTGACTACGGATTGTATAACAGTGACTGAACATGACAGTGAGAATATGACTATTATATGACTAGGTTCTACATAATGTGACTACAAGTAACCAGCACTTAAAAAACTTGCAATATTAATAGCAAAATACATTGCAAAAAGAAAAAAAAATGACTAAAAAAAACAAAAAATAACTAATGTGATCTTTCAACAATGGCCATCGAACATGTTTTTTTGTTGCGATATCCAACTCGGTTGCACCGACTGCACTTAATTTTCCGTTTGATCTTGTGTGTTAAATATGACTACACTGTTGAATGTTGAACATATGCAGCACTACAAAAGAAAAAGAACAAATATAACTAAGTTGTTAAACATGAATACTCTGTCAAATATGACTACTCTGTAAAATACACTGCACTACAACCGACTAATCTCGTAATTCAATGAGTTTTCCAGATCTAAACATTCAGAATATGCAGAATAACACAAAAATTAATAAAATCCAGAATAATTGAAAATCAATGCATGCGTTCATAACAAACAAATAATAGATCTGAAATTCAGATCCATAACATATTATATTGCTAGTTCGACAATTAATTCGAGAAAAATAAAAAAATAAAATTTACCAATTAATATAGTATATATTGGTATTCAGCGTCGAGAGAAGGGAAATCTCCATGTAGAAATCCGACGGAGGCGGCGACAAGGTGGGGAAGGCGCCGCCGCCAATTGTACCAGGCGTCGATGTGGTGGTGTTCGACGAGTGGGGAGACGATCTCCAACATCGGTGGAGGAGGGCCTCTTGCAACGAGTTTTGGCCGGTGGCGTTTGAAGGATATTGTTGACTCCGGCGGTTTTACAGATCTGAAGAAGAAGGAAAAAAAAAAAATAGAACTGTGAACAGGGAGAGAACGAGAGAATGAGAGAGAGAGAGAGAGAGAGAGAGAGAGAGAGAGAGAGAGAGAGAGAGAGAGAGAGAGAGAGAGAGGGAGAGCGAGAACTGAAGAAGAAGGAAAAAGAAAAAAAAAAAAAAGAACTGTGAACAAAAGAACGAGAGATATCGAGAACAGAGAACAGAGAGAAAGAGGAGAGAATGAAAGAGAGAGAAATAAAATTGTATTAGCTTAAAACCCTAACACATAGGGGCATTTTAGTCTTATCATGGCTGGTAAGGGGGTCTCACTAATTTAGATTGGGATATGGGTTATGGGAAAAGTCTTTAAGGTGAATTGGGTTTAGTTCAAAATATTTTCCAAATAAGAGGTGTATTGCATATTTCCCCTTATCTATATAAATCCTAAAGAACAGATAAACAACTGTATAGTCTCATCAAAGCAGATGATCTGTAACAAAAAATCTGCAAATGTAAAGAGAGCCACGTATTTATCTTTAAATTTGTATATTTATATAAATATTTATTACAGTAAAATAAATATATGATATGATACACAAGGTCAGATGTACTTCTCAGTTGCCTTCGAAACAACATGCCTTCAAAACATCTTGTACATTCGGGTCATCGCCTGCTTCTTTGTCCTACAATCGGAGACCACAAAAGTCACACTAAATGAACAGACAAAATTTCCGGATAATACAAGTGAACGTATTTTCGAACGAATAAACGTAAATGAACTATATATGCAGAAGTCCCACAGTTTTTCAGTATCCTAATTTGGATTTGTAAAAACTCGGAAAAAGTAAAGCCTCTCAAATTAGCTATCTATAATATATGATTTGGGGGGATATATTAACCTTGTGGATATATGTGATGTTATTTTTACCGGGGCCTGCAACAATGATGCCCCCCTGCTGCCTGCAAAATGAACAACAAATATTCAAATATATGAAACGAAAAAAAAAAACATCACGATGATAAGGATCCGACATGCATGAAATTGTTTCTAGACCAGCTTTGATTCCGTAATCAATTTTTCATACGCTGATTCTTCACATAATTCTTTTGCTCAAAGGATTCGAAAATCCACTTCTTTCTGGTAGCATAGAGAAAGGTAAGCAAAAAAAAAATCAGTCGAGTAGGTACACCTAAGCTTCAAGGTAATATTCATGGTTTAGCTACTTATCATCATCGTTCCCACTCACCAATGCACTGCATATACAACATTCTTTACTTTTTTAGTTTTCTTACAACTTCTAAATTTAATATCACTAATTGAGGCAATCGTGTTTTGCTAAAAATTCTGACCTTTTAATGTACGTAAAGTTTTCATTAGCGGCTACAGACTATTTGATGTCTGAAACATGAATGCAGGAGAAACATATTTTTCGCATTGCTAGAGACCTCTTTCTGAAGTTATAAAGGAAGCTTATATATTCATCATATTATCCATCGGTAATTTATTTCAAAAAAAAAAAAATCATCGGTAATTTACACGAGTTGTTTCAGGTGAGAGACATAATTCCTTCAATGGTATACATAATATTTCACTTGATATCATTTTCTAGGACGGTAAAACGTACCAGCCACCTCTTGACCTGGTATCCTTCTCAAAGGAAAGGGCCCAGTCTTGTCGGTATCCTTCAACATATGATTGAATTATTTTTAAGCCAGCCTGGGAAAAAAAAATTAATAAATATATGAAATCGGAAAACAGTGCCTAAAGCAGTTGAAATACCTAAGGTACATACATCACAAATAGCTAATGGTAGAAAATGTATGTCATAAATAGAAATTTAGAGCATTACCCTACCATGGGAGTAAATGTGGTTGCAACACCAGAGACAAATTTTAGTGCCTCGTATGATGAATGGCTAGGGTCTGCATATACCTCTGCAACATCACAGAGAAAAATTCCCACATGAGATTTCCCACATAGTATTAAAAAAAAATCAACTTAATCATTGCTAATAATATTTTAAATTAACTTAATTAATACAGATAGAAACTTCACCAAACAGTAGAATTCTACATTGATTTGGGAATCCAGTGTTACTTTTAGATGACTTAAGAATGAAACAATGAGCAGAAAGAAAACAAATGACCGAGCAATAATTCTAAGGTTCCGAAGTATCTAAAACCTCACCTCCTTTAAATTTTGTTTGCTCGGAGAAAGCTTTTGCCTGCCACAATGAAAAAAAAATCAAATCACCATTCGAATAAAACATTCACTATTCAAGGGAAGTGGAGAACCAACAAACTTTTGGAAAGAAAGCAAGAAGGTATGAAGGTTAGGAAGGAGGACAAATACATAAATAAAAACTCAAACAGTTCTCAAACTTTACACAATAAATAAAAGTGCAACCTCTATCCTCCAAAAAAAAAAAATTAACCATGCAACGTGTTGAATAGAAGCTAAATGGAACACTAGCAGATATTGAAGTAAACACAATTTCTGCTTCTTGGTAACCTTTTATTGTGCTTATCTGTCAAGAACTAAAAGCAAGGGACGTCAGCAAATACCTGGTCGACATTGCCAGGCCCAATTAAGACAAGAGCCACACCAGCTGCATCCATCTTATCCTGTCAAAGAAACTCAACATTCAATCAAAATGTAAATAAGCCTAGACTCCCACTGTTAAAATTAAACATTTTCATCTTAACTAGCACAAGCTTCAGTTTCACTTGATCAAGTACAGTGATTACACAACAACGCATTGTACTTTCAACAAATTAGTGGTATGACAAAATATTTAAATTGAACTTGACATTGTACATAATAGCAAACAACAACGCATTGTACTTTCAACAAATTAGTGGTATGACAAAATATTTAAATTGAACTTGACGTTGTACATAATAGCAAACAAAATACTGATACCATCTACGGTGGGGCATTTGATGGAGTTGATAGAGTTTTAACAACTATAGGGAACTGTTAATTTCTCTAATTTCCTTTTATTCTTAATAGATACCCGAAGATTGCTACAAATGATCGAGTAATTATAATTAACCAGTTATATGTTTCCAAGGTGTTCTTCCTCTGACTTCCTTTTTGGCAGGTTACCGAAGATTAATTCTTTGATCGTAAAAGTAACTTAAAATGCTCATGACTTTAGTTGCTAAAAAGTAGCATAGAAGAAGAAACTGCTTTGCAATTCAAGAACTGGGGATTCAAGTTCAACAAATGGGTACCTTCTCAGCTGCGAGGTAGTCAGCCCTTTTTCGGCATAGCACACATCTGCAGCGACAAAAACGATAACAAGAGAAATTTTATGCAAGAGAGATGCTTAAAAAGCAAAGTATTGATGCACAAAGTTTCAATATAATCACCCAAAATGACGAGCAAATGCAACCACGGCTTTCCTATCTTTCCACAAATCAGAAATGGGGATTTCTTTACCATCCAAGTCAAGTACCAGCACTTTATCCAACGAGTCACTGGTATCCTCATTCATGGCAGATGTCTCAGCTCCTGCTGCACAACATCATCCACAATCATCAAGAATTCAATTACACTCTTGACTTTTTTAACTTTAATCCATTCAATTAATTATTTAATATATTTGAGCACCTCAACTGAACTCTTCCTATGTAACTTGCTTCTAATGAAATTTCATTTGATTTGCTCTTCTTACATCCTTGACAATCTCAAAAGTTAAACCAGCATTAATAATTCACTTTTTCTACTTCTCATAATATCTGATTACAACAAACAATCCCCAATCCAGTGTAAATTCATGCCACACAATAATGCAACCAATGACTACAAAATCCCACTTAAGTAAGAGTATGGTAAATCATCCACCAAATTGACATATTGCTCCTCTATTTTCTCTACGAATCCCTAAAATGAAATTACATTCACTATCATAAATATTTTCGTCAAATTATTTCTTAAAAAAAAAAAGCATCACTTGTAAGTAAGGGCGGATGAAAAAAATCCTGAAAAAAGGAAGTAAAATTGAAGCTCACCAGGGGATCCGGAGATGGCGGAGGGAGTGATGAGCCATTTATGGGGTGAAATTTTGAAGGGCGATTTGACATGGAGCGAAGGGCTTGGGTGAAATTTAGGATAGTTGTTGAGCTTCTGTGACTGCTTTGTGGAAATATGAATTCTATTACTCGCGGCGGCGACGCCGTATGATGTGGCTGTAGTGAGAGAAGCCGCCATAGGGAGAGGTAAACTTGGAAAGGGGGTGCGCTGCGGCTGCAGGTGACCGTTGGAATGTCAATGAAGTCGAGAGATATTTCGCTTCACACGTGGCAAACATTAATTACCAAAAAAACTTACCCATTTTTACTATCTAACCACAAGTCGTTTTGGCAAAAAAAATTTCTCTGTATACATACCCATTTTTTCGGTTATTCAAAAAATATTTACCGAGTCGGACGGTGTATATCGGCTCGGTTTTTCCGGTTTTCGATTTTTATGCTCACCCCTAACACGTTTCGTTAGAACATGTTTTGTGACGTATTAGTGTTTTTACACTAAAGAAATGGGCAGCCCGGCAAAATAGTGTAAAATGCGCTAAAGAAATGGTCCCACCAGCCCGGCAAAATAGTATAAAATGGGCTAAAGAAATGGGCCCGCCAGCCCGGCAAAATAGTGTAAAATGGGCTACAGAATTGGGCCCGCCAGCCCGACATGAACATACTTTTTTTTCTGCTGAAGCAACACAAGTTTTTTAAAACCAATCAAATAAAACCAATTGAAATATCAAATCCCATAACATTGGGAGCAAAGAATAGTTGCCACTTTAACCTTGTTTTCAAATTTATTACAGTTGCAGCAAGTGATGAACCTTCTGCAAATCTCCAACTCACATAATTCTACAACAAAACTAAAACATCGAGAGACATAAAATATACCCACCCCGGACGATTCTTGGCCGGATAAACTCAGTCATGTTGTTATTTTTTCGACATGTGAAAAATAATAATTAAGGTATTAAATTAAAAAAAAAAAAAAGTACTGCTGCTTTCTGCAAAAAAATTGAACATTCAACAGAATCTACGCGGCGGCCGACTGTTTATCCTCGTTCTCATCGAGGTTCAGTGCTTCAAGCAATTTCGGCCACGACTCTGGTATACCTCCAGGCAAGTCAAACTCCATTAATTTCCCTTGACTGCGATAAAAGTCCTCCACTGGTTGACTCTGCAACATCCCAAATGAATTGAACTATGTAAAAAATTCACTAGAGATAAAATGTTTTCTTTTACTAAACTTATTGTCCCTGAGTATCAATGAACACAACAATGAAAACCATAACAGGTAAGCTTGTGTTCTATTATATCATTCTTATTTTCTTGACAACTATAACAGATATAACAGAAGTTATTCTCCAACAACCACACGTATTTGGAGGGAAAAGAAAGTACCTTTTCGTTGTATATGCGAAGTCTTTCTTTGACAATAGTTTCAGTATCGTCAGACCGTGTAATGAGCTTCGAGACACAGTTGGGAGGAGGAAGAAGAGGGGCCATACTTATGTCACGAGTCCCATTTTCACCCTTGACGTCAATTGTTGCCACATTAAAGTTCTTTCCACATTGGCTGCAAATCCTTCTTCCAAGGCATTTCTCTAGTAGTACATTTTCTGGAAGCTTGAGATTTACCACAAGGTCAATGTCTGTCACTTCAGTCAATATTTCCTGCATATACGAAACAACAATAACTATCAAAATTGCTCATTCACATCTTCCTAAAGAATAATGGATAAGTTAGTCGATATTTCCAGGGGAGAGGGAAAAAGGGGAATCTGCAGAGTTTTGGATTTTCTCTTCTTTTTTCCTTTTTTTTTTATGTGTGGGTGGGGGGGGGAATCTGAATGCAGGATAGCAAGACATGCACTTCCTTTCATTTTTGTGAAATCCATAAATGAGAAATTAGGTCAAACAACAGATCACTCTTCCACCCAACATCGGCAACCAGAGGGAAAAATATAAACACTTCAAAAAAATCATCTGATGATTATACATAACATTATTAACTGCTCCTATTCTTTCCGATTCCCTCGAAATCATAAAACAAACTAGGAGCTAACTAAGTGCAAGGAAAGCAATTTACCAAATTGTTACCAAAATAGACATTTTTCAGTTGTTTGTATCAGTATCTTGAATAGAGGAGACCTTTTTATTTGACATGCAACCATGTTATATACTTTCAAGCATTCTTCTCAATAATAGCTCTTTCACAGAGGAAGTTTACTTACTGCTTGTCTCACTGTGCGGGGAAACCCATCGAGAATGAATCCTGATTCGCCTTTGGTTTCTCCCATCTCAAGCCTCTTTGATAACAGATTTATAATTATCTCATCCGATACCAATTTACCCTGGTTTACAATTTCCTCAAGCTGTAACAAGGAACAGACAAGATCAGTTAAGTAAAGTAAAAAGTGAAAGACCATAAAACAATATTACTATGCAACTTCCACCCACCCCCAACAACCCCATTTTTTTCCAGATATCCTACCACTAAAAGTTTATAATGTTATACAATTAAAGCCATCGAATCGAGTGCCCAACTTATTACTAAAATTAGCAAACAACGAGTAATATTGTAGCCTTTTGCAAATAGATATCCTTATCAGAGACAAACAGGAATCTCAAACTCCTAATCATAGCCACAAGTACAGCTTCTGTGTGAGTAAAATATCCATACCTCAACGCCATAAAGTCACTGAGTATCTAAGATTTTCACAATGATATCTATTCAATCAACTTAAAGAACGAGATTCGGCTTTGACACTATGCAGTTAGGTATTGCATTCAATTCCCACCTCACTGCGAAGTGTCTAAGTATACAGACATGAACATAAATGCGAAGGAAGATTCGAGAAATTCAATTTGATCGATGTCTTGAACTTCATATTCGATCATTTTTACATTTCTCACTGCCAAATGACAAGTCCACACTACTATCAATTACAGTATACCAGCACAGATTCGTGTTTACGGCCAATATACAAAAATCGAAACTCTCGTAAAGAACCATATGATGACATGCGTCCTCACTATTTCTAGAATAAAAATTGGGGCAACTAACAAGAGATCACTGATAACTAAAGCATCACAGTTTCTTAAAAACGCCCTTCGCCAGATCCCTATCTATATATGTGTGTGAACAGACATTTAAATACAAGATATCAAGTACTGAGATCACAAACATTTAATTCAAAATTCGTACGAGTTTATCATTCAATTGCAATCCTATGAGCACAATTCAACAAATCTAAGCACGAAATTATTCAGTATCACGTACTTGCTTCGACAGAGGGCCAGACGACGATAGCTCTTCGCGAACGAGATCGCCGGTGGCGATGTGCGGAACGCCGAGGAGAGCTGAGAGCCTACTCGCGTACGTGCCTTTTCCTACGCCGGGGCACCCCAAAAATACCCACTGGAAATTCCTGCCCTTGGGATCTATGCGCGGGATGCAAGATTGGGATCTTAATTCGGTGGCTGCCGCCGTGGTTAAGGACCTCCGGGTGAAATAGGCGGCGGCGGAGGAGGATGAGGCTGAGGATCTGAAGAGGCGGGTCACGGCCGCCATTGGTGGTAATGTGTTAGAAGATTCTAACGCCGGCGTTAGAAGCTGAGGAGAAAGAGAAGTTTCAGCTTGCTTTCGGCAGCGACTTTATAGAAAGGAGGATGTGTAGTTTTCTAGGCTTCACGATTAAAAAAAACGGGTCATGGTGTTCGGATCTTTTTCGAGATTCCAATTTTATTCGGGCATTAAGTTAGGGTTTGAACTTTGAAGAAAAAAAAATTAAATATTAATATTGTGCAATAATTTATCTCCAAAAACAATTAGTAAATTGGAACAAAAAAATTTTATTTTCGATTTTCGTTCATTCAAATTAAACAAAAAAACAAAAAAAAATATTTTTTGATTTTGCGAAATTTATCGTATCTTGAACTTTTTTTTATGGGTTTTAACTCGTAATTCTTTTTTGGCTATTTTCATATACGGTTTGGTTTCCAGTAGTATACATTGGACATTGCGCCCCCTTTTAAGTTTCACTTCTGACCTGAAATGTCTAAATGCCTTGAACTTTATATTATAATTACAACTACACTTCATTTCTGCTTAAAAAAAATACTATTAATCATAAAATATGTTCTAACGAAACGTGTTGCATTATTGATTAACCTCATAACGTTTTGTAATCCTTTTTTTCACCAAACAACTTTATATTTATATTTGTTTATTTCAAACATGTAAGTCACAATGTTTTGTATTCCCACGTGAGAAATCAACACGAGAAAGACAGAGTCACGTCCGATCCATATACTATAAATGTGCACTTCTCATACTTAACGTAAAAAGGTAAAAATGTGACCATTCAGTGTATGAGCACAATCCATACGATATATATTACATACAATGACATGAACGTGGAAACAAGAAAATGCAAGAGTTGCGTATGCTTCTCATGCTCGTTAACACCCGCGGATTGACCATAAACCACACTATAGATATTCATGCACATACTTGTGATAGAACAAAGAATTACCTGATTATGTTGGGACGATTTACACTATTTTGCCTGATTAGTGCGCCCATTTCTTTAGCCCATTTTGACACTATTTTGCCGGGCTAGTTGGCCCATTGCTTTAGCCCATTTTACACTTGCCGGGCTGGTGGGCCCATTTCTTTAGCCCAGTTTACACTATTTTGCTGGCTGATGGGCCCATCTCTTGAGCCCATTTACACTATTTTACCGGGCCAATGGGCCCAATTCTGTAGCCCATTTTACACTATTGGCAGGCCTATTTCTTTAGCCCACATTGATGTGTTGATAAACGGTAAAAATTCACCCAATGTAACTTTAACCATGTAGCATAGAAATAACGGATCATGACTTATGATATGTAACGTTATTAGAGGTGCCTCAAGTATTTGTATATATTAAAAGCTTGAAATTAAATAAAACATGTCATATATAATTTATTTGTTTATACATAAAAATCCAGAATTTTGTGTTTTAATCTTGAAAATATTGAATAATATTTTTCTTTTTTTTTTTGGAAAATGGAGTCGAAACATATGGTGGAAGCAACAAGCTTCCATAAAAGACTGATGACCTATTTTGGCCATTTAATGAATTTTCTGCATCACCATGCGGCCCATGTGGACCGCGCGTGGATCCTTGTCGTAAATTTCTGCCAAAAACAAAAAAGAAAAAGAAAAAGAAAAAGAAAAAACATCTTAACGCCGTCACGACCATTTTCTAATCCAAGTGCTCCGCACTTGACGTCCGTGATAACAGTACAAAGATATATTGAGTGGGAATTGCCACGTGCCCCACCCCTAGTCTCCGAATCTGTTTTGATTCGATCCATATCCCTTGACCCGTTGAGCTCTCGCCTTTAGATTTCATCAACGTCCACCATTACACGTCATCCGCCCACGTGGCCCGCCCGGTGCCTTGAAATTGTACACGTCATCATATTCGCCTCGCCCTGTATTTTCTTCTCAAACCCAGCGAAGAAGACAGAACAGAACCCCTAATACACGATTGGCCTGTATTCGATTCACATCAATTAATTCGTGAAGGTAATAAATATTGCCCAACTGTTGAATTAATTTATGCTATATTTAGTCGTCGGCGTTCGATTTTCATGCGAAGAGGATAATCGTCGGGATCTGGTGAACAGGTCGTAATTCAAATTTCAATGAATACTGACGCCGATGGTGAAGGTGATCGGAAGGGAGCCGATGATGGAGTTTTGGTTGAGAGGAAAACTTCGCTTCAGGGGAGTGATTTGGTCAAGGCTGCGTGTTGGGAGAGTTTTCTTCATGTGAGAACCATTCGAGTTTTGCTGGTGGAGGAGGATGATTCCACGCGCCATGTTCTGGCTGCTCTGCTTCGGAACTGTAACTATGAAGGTAGGTCGGACATATTTTACAAATTGCTGAAGGCCTATTTTGAGTTTGGCAAGTCAGAAAGCAGCTTATGCATCTCCAGGTAATATTAATCAGTGTGTGTGCCGTAAACTTCGCCTGTCGAAAATCGAATGATGGAATTCTCTCTCTCTCATGCACCTTACACTTCATTTGAGTTGACTTGAAGCTAAGAATTTGTTTGGATAATTTCATGGTGTAATGTTTTTCAAGTCATTGATATCCTATTTTCAGCTATTGTTTGAGTCATTTTTTGGTTAGTTTAGGATTTTTTCTCTTGTGTTATTTGCACTGATCAGTTTTAAATGTATCTAATTTTGGCTCAGTTTGCTTTCTCTAAGCTAATTTATTCTTTAGATGGTGTAACAAGACTATCAACTGGTGAATGCAGTAATAGAGGCAGCTAATGGACTCCATGGATGGAAGATTTTAGAAGATTTAACCAATCACGTTGATATTGTCTTGACGGAGGTCGCGATGCCTGGTTTTTCTGGGATAGCTCTTCTATGCAAAATTATGGGCCACGAAACTCGCAAGAATATTCCCGTGATTAGTGAGTAATATTATATTGTTTCAAGTTTCATTATGTGATTGTTTTCGATGCCACCTATAGATACTATTAACACTAACACTGGATGATATTTTCTTGCAGTGATGTCAGCTCATGATTCAATGGTTTTAGTCTTTAAGTGTTTGTCCAAAGGTGCTGCTGACTTCTTGGTCAAACCCATACGAAAGAATGAGCTTAAGAACCTTTGGCAGCATGTTTGGAGACGATTCCATAGTGTGAGTCGTCTTAACTTTGGTTGGTGTTCTTTTGTGTAGTTAGTTGTAGCTGGACTGACTTGGATTTCTTTTTGGGTTTCTGGACAGAATATGTAATCCTTCGGCTGGAAAACGTAATTTTTAGTGCGTATTTTAAGTAACGTTTTATTTTTTCAATATTTGCGACTAAATGATTTTCATTTTCTCTTGTGTTTTCATCGCATAATCATACTATGTTTGGCAGTCTAGTGGAAGCGGGAGCGGAAGTGGTGCACAAACACAAAAATCCAAAAAATCAAAAATTAGTGAAAAAGAAGACAACAGTGGAAGTGACAACGGGGAAAAAAATGGGAGCAATGGCTTAAATATGAGTGCTGGAAGTGATGATGGCAGTGGAGCTCAGGTGATAAAATTCTCTTTTTTAATTTCAGCTGAATGTGTATACATCTAAAACCATCATTTTGTATACGAGCAGTTACATTACGTGTGCTCAGTTTTGTCGGAGTCCAGATTAATATTTTTCTCATTGGTACCATCGGAACTGGCTTGAGTTTTCTTGTTAGTTTCAGCAGAACGGGGATTGGTCGAAACATGAACTAATTCTCCGAGTTGTGGTTCTCTTAACACAAATATCTTTATTCTGTTATTTTTTTGTTCATCCGCACAATAAAATGGTACAAGGAGGGAAAGGATAACATGGTTCTATGTATGGAGCTGTCTCGAAACACCTAAACAAGGCTATAGTAAGATCAGGAATGAATGAATAAACTCTATTGTGTGGCACTCTTTTTTATATTTTATACTCTTTACATTTTAAAACTGGCTCTATGAGAAATTAGTATTACACCATTACTTGTATAGATAAGAGATGAATAAAATATCTTGAGGTATAACTTAACATGTTTTATTGAATTTTATTGTAAATACCATCACAGTTTTGATCGATGATCTTCATCGTTTGTAAAAAAGAAAATCCGAAATGGGAAATTTAGAAAATTTATCAGTATACAAGTATGGATTGACTCCTTTTTTTACAGAGTTCTTGGACAAAGCAAGCTGTAGAAGTTGACAGCTCACGATCTATGTCTCCAATTGATCAAGTAGCCCAGTCTCATGCCCAAGTTATTCGCCCAAATACTGAGATTTCTGGCGACAAAAGGGTGGATATTGCTGTAAGGGGAGGCCATGAACAAAGTCAACCTGGTAACTAAACGTTGTTTTCACTTTGCTCTTAAGTTGTCCTTTCAGTCAACTATTAAACATAGATTTTTCCTGCAGATGCCATCGCAAAGGGCAAAGACCTGACAGCTGCTCTACCCAGAAACGTGGAATCAAATGAAACTCTATTCACACCCATCAGTGCAAAACTGAATTCCTCGTTAAAGTTGGAACACAAGATGAGCATTAAGCAAATCGTCAATGTACAAAGGAATCCCACCGAGGAGGACAAAGGGAGCAGTGCTAAAGTGACAGGAATATTCAATATCAACAATAATGCAACTAATGATTCTAAAGAACTAAACATCGAGCTTAGTTTAAAGAGGCTTCGAGGAGTTCAGTACACAGGGGGTTCTATTCAAGATGATCGTTGTGTCTTACGGCGTTCTGAGCAATCTGCTTTCTCTAGGTTTGGATGAAGGACCACATATAAATATATTTCTATAATCTTATTATCTTTTATTTTCTTAATATAGTTTGTTTTATTGAGATTATGCTCTATTTGTTCAGGTATAATAATACATCATCGAATGTGTTCAAGACTCCTCATGGGATCAAAGGAAGCAGTATAACCGAGAATAGTGTTGAAGTTGCAAAACGAGAGTCGGTGGGTGATACGCAAGCTCGTTCAACAGACTATGTTGTATATCTAAGTTCCAACGGAGTTGGCAATAATATAGATATGGGCTCCACCACTAATAACATTGCATCTTCAGTTAATGGTTTATGCCCTCCTACATTCAGACCTGTGGAAAATGACCTTAGATACAGTCAACCACAAGTTAGTCTGTTTCTGCCTAATGAAATGCAAACTAAAAACGTAGCTCCTAAGAATTATCATCATCATCAACAGCTATCATATAACCAGGATGAGTCGTCTATTAAGAAGTTACCGGAAGATACTCCACAATGCGGATCAACAAATGTTTTAGGTAAACCAATGGAAGATAATAGTAGGAACTGTAGGAATAGAAGTGCATCAGGAAGTAACCATGGAAGCAATGGACATAATGGAACTGTAGGGAGATATACCGAAAGTGGTATTGGGCAAGCCGGAAGAAATGGAAGTGGAGACACTAGCGGCAGCGGTGGCGGAACGGGAGTAGATGAATGCAAACTTGCACCGCGAGAAGCTGCCTTGAACAAATTCCGTCAGAAGAGGAAGGAAAGGAGCTTTACGAAGAGGGTAAGGAATGCTATTCTTAGTTTCTTACAACCTTTTTACTTCCGATTCATTTATTCAATCGTTAATTCATTTACCTATGCTGGTTTTAAGTCTTGATTTGACATGGTGAAATAGGAAATTTACCAGGCATGATAGTTGTTCATCAAAACGCGTCATTCATGATAAGTTGAGTGTGCATTTTCTTGAATAAAAATGATAAGTTATGAAACGAATAATTGATGTGAGGCTCTGTACACTGTATCTTATATGTTTATCGGTGATCAAGATTTGCTATGCTGGAGATTTCTATTCTTCTTACTGGGACTTGAATTCTTGGTTCCTATATCATAAGATGTTTTTTGAGTATATATGTGTTTTTTTTTTTTTTTTTTTTTGCCTCAGGTAAGATATGAAAACAGAAAGAAATTAGCAGAGCAACGGCCCCGTGTTCGAGGGCAATTTGTTAAGCAAAGTGGGACTGACGATTCGAACAGAGGTTCCAACGAATGACTCCAATCATTCTTCAGCTAGATAATCGTGTACAGGGATAGTTTTTTTTTTTTTTTTAATTACATCTTTTAGATGTTTGATGATTGTTAAGTGTGGTTTTTCACTGGTTGTTAGCATATTCACAGTATAGTCTTTGATATGAATGTCTCCATATGCAAGAAAAACTTTTCAATCTGACACTTTAGTTCTAGATGAGTTTTCGCATAGGAATATGGTTCCACCCTTATGATTGAAAATGCACTGTAATCTTCTAGATTCCATGAAATATTCTATAGTTTGCACTTGTTTTGTGTAAAAATGCAGTTTCTGATGCGCTACAATCTAATATTTACAGGTCAAGAGACACATGACATATCTTATGATCATCTTGTTTCAAAATGTGGAGCTCGAATAGGGCAAAATTAGTACAAACTGGAATAGATTTAACAAAATTTGACACAACATGGATGAACTTGTAAGAAAATTCATAGTTGACGGTTGATTGTAACTACCCCAAACATTAGAGGTTTTTTCGTAATTTAACTTTATGAGTGACCGTAATATACCCTTTTAAATAATGTTGTTGAACTTTTGAATAATGTTGTTGAACTATTGAAATGCATGTCTACCAAATTAAAGTTTCTCAAGATATTAGTTTTTATTTTAAAATATAATGTAAAGTCCGAAACATATGAGTAGGAAAAGATTTTGAAACCTATATCATGTCAAAAAAATCAGACCAAGCAAATTAAGACATCTTATAATCTACAAATATCTTATTAAATGTTAAAAGATCGTAATAAACTTATCCAAACACTCTCTTAATCAGTGATCATATAAACACACATATATAAGTTAAAAAAACAAAAGTGTAGTATCAGTAAACATTAACCCTATATACGTATGTAAATACTACATCGAATCATATTGTCTAGCAATCGTCAAGTTTTTAAAAAAGGTTAGCTATCGAAGTCTAACAATATCAAAAGATGCATGGGGTTTTCGCTTATGTACAGTTTATATATATGGATTTCTATAAACTCCATTGTTCGGTTACATAAATCGAAGGAGCTCGTTTTTCACCTTTTTCATTTTCTCTATTGTTGGGGGCCGTTAGTTTCAGCATCAGGTGGTGCACCATCGTTACTCGGTTTTCCCTGACATAATTAGTACATTATAAAACGCGACAAAATGAGCTAGAAACTAGGAATATCTATCTCATGCCAAGTTTGATTTAATTTAGGGACAATTTGATTGATTATTCAGTTAATATGCTACTAAACGAGGTTCATAATTAATTCGACAAAAGAGGATCGAGAGTGAGTTAAAAAACTTACCTTGTTCTTGTCTCGCCAACCCAGCCCAAATGAGAGTAGACCTGTCTTCTTTATTGGCATATCCCGCGGAGATTCTAAACGCCCAAGCCTATTATTATGCATATGTTCATGTAATAAAAGGTTATTTATATATTAATTAGCCTTTCAAAACTACGAAAATGAAAATACTGTAATAAGCATGGAGTTCTGAGGAATAGCGCGTCACCTTGGGGAAGATAGGGCTTTACTTTGACCAGATTCGTACTGCAACGTGGCTTCCAGCATTGACTCAGCCATAACAGCCCGCTTTTCCAACTGAGTCAGGGAAGCCGTGGCCTTTTCGTACTTTTCCTGCACATTTACGAAACCGAAAAAGAAAAAATTTATGTGACCTTTTTCTTTGCATAGTAATCGAAAGAAGAAACTGATAATAAGATAGGAACTGAACCTCAAGAATATGCACTGTGTATCTCTGAGCTGCAGCATCTTGTTCAGCAAATCGTCGAGCTTCTTCAGTTACTCTTTGTTCTTGCTCGACTTTCATCAAAACCTAAAAACAAGATCCTTGTAACTAGGAAGTATGCAAAGAAGATCAAAACAGCTGAATGTTGTGATGAGAAGAGAGATAACTGAAAACCTGAAGCATAGCTTTCTCCCCTTCTCTCTTATCAGCTAAAGCCTGCCGTAGTTCAGCAACCTCTTGCTCCAATTGCTCGACCTTGACCAAAATTTTAAGAGTTACTTCTACCTTTTGAAAATGGGACTCAAAAGAGCGATTATAAAGCAGAATAATCGGAAATTATACAAGGGTCAATCGTTGTAGCTTAAAGTTCTGACAAGAAAGAAAACCAGTAACTTATGCTTTTACGAAAAGTCCCTCTTAACATCCATAATTACAAATATCAAGGCCTCGAGGCGTAGCTTATGTAATTAACACTCAGAAAACGCGAAATATTAACAAGACTGGTGGAGTTATAAAATACCCTTGCAGTCAGTTCCCTTCGATTATCTTCTGTGACCATCTCCATAAGTGCAGCTTCTAATTCTTCAGCCCTACAAATGAGGATTAGCCATTTTGTTATCGAATAACAGATTCTTGATTATGAGGTTTATTTTCTCACCGAAATGACCAACACCATATTACGAGAGGAAAATATGCACTACTTTTGCTAAAAAATTGCATGATCAAAATGAATCAATGCAGGAAGTCTGGCTTGTAGGCCCAAAAATAATAGCATGTTTTCAACATAAACTCGTAAACATTTACCTCCAACTCTAACTTACTAGTTTAATTAAACTACACAATATTATCTAATCCAAGATTTTCAGGTTACGAATCGTAGGTATATCTACCAATATATGACTTACCTGAGCACAGCAGATCTCTTCTCCTCCAGCAAACTGCAGAGCTCGACCTTCAACCAAACAACCTGAAAAGCACGTTCATCGTTGAAATCTCATAAAAGCTATATTGGCTACTCAAGCAGGTATAAAACAACCGAAGGAGGATATTTGATGTAAAAGAACAAAAGGCAAAATAGATAAACATTGTCTCTTACTGAAATGGATAATAACCTACCTGTTCCTGAAGATCCGGAAGAGAATCTACTTCAGAATCAACTGTTATGCCATTAAGAATTTCATCCAGGTTGGCACCATGAGAATCTAGATTCGTCATTTTATCGATTTTATCTGTTTCTGTCTTGTTCTCTTTCACTATTGACTCAGGGTCATGTTTGAAACTGTATAACTTAGTTGCGAGACCCTTTGGATCTTTAAAAACTCGACCCCCTTTTGCCCTTTCCTCGGCTGCTGCAAGTATAGCTGGCCGATGCTTCTCTCTAAGTTCTTGCAGTCTATCTTCGGTTATGGTCAAGAAACCCATGCAAGCAGTCAAGACAAGCTGGCTGCTATCGAATGTGGACCCCGCAAGTGTTTGGAACAATGTTATAGCATCTCCAGCATCCTTAGTTGTAACTACGGCAGGTCCTGCAAATAAAAAGGGCGTGTGATAATTCAAATGAAATTATTATTTTACGAATATATATATAACGTTATTACCGTATAAATCCATCAAAGCAAGTGCGGTACGGAAGAGCATGACACGGTTTCCTTCAAACAGAATCACGTCCCAGACTCGGAGAACTGACAAGTCAAGAAAAAAATTGTCAAAAGTTTATGCTATGAAATTGAAAATTGGAAAGTTCAATTATAAAATAATTGAATTATATAACCGAAGGCAGAAAGCTCGTACCACTTTCCCACGGAAGCATATTTACAAAGATTGAAAGGAACCATGGCCCACATATCCATGCTACCTCGACTCCCAAGTAATCAAGATGATTCACTGCAGCATTATAACAAAAATGAGGAATTTCTTATATTATCATTGTAAGCACAATACCTTGGATAAATTTTTAGTGAAAAAAACAAACCCAGTTTAGGGAACCTTTCACGCATCAAGTCCTCAAAAACTAGCTGGTCAACCTATAAAGAATCAAAGAATTAAGGTGTTAGTTGTGTTAAGATGAGCATATATGTATTTTCTAACAGGAATATCTACTGACATGCAGACCTGGGATTCTATCATTTCTTGCGAGAAATAATCCTCAAAATAGTCATCGATTATACCTACCAATGTCCTGAAAGGTTTGAAATAAACTAGCTGATAAAAAAAGTTAGCTTATTTGAAATTATTTCAATTTTTTTTCCCTCCATAATTTATCAAAAATCATCGAGGTCCAAACACGATGACGAGAACTACATTTGAATCTTACCAAAAAGCATTTTCCTCCGGCATCATCAGAAGTAATAAGCCCGCAAAAAAATTCATCGCCTGCAAGTACAATAATATCGAAGAGCAAAAAAAAAATGACAATTAATTTGAGATACACAGAAGAAACATGAAAGAGTGAGAAGAAAAAGAAACTAAGAAAATGCCTTCAGAAAGCAGCGACCTGGCAGTATCCAACAGAGGGGTTATGCCGAGCATATGCCGAAAGTACACGCCTTAGTGAATTTCTCCCTTTCTCATTTAATGCAGGATGCCCTGGAAATGTTCGAGGCAGATCCTGCAGCAAAGCCAACAACAAGTTAGTTTTTTCTTGAAATCACGAGACGGTGCAAAATAAAACGTAACTTCTAATGGCAACGATTTTCACTAGCATGTAAACAAAAACGCAAACGTTAAAACAATAGTCAAACTCAAGAGATAATTGAAACACGAATTTTAAAACAATAGTCGAAAGCAAAACCTAAAACAGTATGCACTGAACATGATAAACCCAACTTCATTCATAAATTACAGTACACGTAAGAATCGTGCAAGATTAAAAAAGTCAAATACGACTACAATTAGCAACAAGGCATTCTTGAAGACTATCCCAGATGAACCCTAAAAAAGAAGCAGCACCTACGAATTAAAAAAGTCCAGGGCCCATGCATCTAACGACCTTCTCAATCTGCTTTCTCCACTTTTCTGGCAAATCATATTTATCATGCTCTTGTCCACCGCTAGCATCATCATCTTTCGTTGCCAGCAAATCCTGGTAATATGTTTCCACTCGACGAGTTCTAACACCAACAAAGGCTTGCCACACCTGCACCATTATTTTTTGCAGAAATATAACGAAAAAACTTCAGTGCTTGGACAAGCAATTATTTTAGGACATTTACATTTGGCAGGTGTCGATAAGACTGTACCTCTCCTCTAAGTTCCTTAGGCACTCCCCCTCGAACAAGAAACTCTAATTCTTCTCTCCTAGGGAAAAAAGGTTCCGGGTACATTTTATCGCTAGCACTAATTTCTACTTCAGAAGCATTTACACTATCCATTTCATCCTTGTCGTCGTCATCATCATCAGCATCTTCAGATTCGGATTTTGCCTCATCGATCGCTGGAAGGTCATTGTGCCCGTGTTTTACCGTTTTGCCCTCCATGTTTTTTCTCTTCTTTACACGTGTACTCAACATTTGTTCAATGGAATCCAGAGACGGGCTAATCTTAGCCCATGTCTGCACCTCGAGGGATTTTGCATGTTGGGTAGTAACAGGAGCTTCCTTATTAGGAATAATACCTTCCTCCTCAGTGTCATTATCAGACCTCTTTTCGCTTTCTCCACTCACCGTTTCATTTCGAGCAGGTTCATTCGAATCATCGCTTTCTCCACTCACCGTTTCGGCAGGATCATTTGACTGCTTAGTAACCTCGGAAACCACATCTCTAGTATTAGCTTCGTTAAACTCATGTGCGCTAGTGGACCCCACTTGCTGCTCGAGAAAGGTCTTCCATTTCTGCAATCTCTCTTCTTCTTCTTCCTGAATTTTTCACATGTAGCATTAGTCTCTCTATTATCTTTTCTATAACCATATCGTAAAGCTGGCCATCAATTTAAATGCTATCAAACGAAAACCGAAGAAATGACAACCAAGCAGATAGATACAGTTATGTATATACACACGAGAGTACCTTATAGATGTTGGCGTATTCACGGTATCGATGAATATGCTGAGGTCTCACAGTAAATCCATAGGCATCCCTGTCAACATTTCACAATTACCATAATCTGAAGAATCACATTTACATTATACAATTTATAAATCACAAATAAAATTGAAAACTTACGATTTGTTTACCTGGAATCATCATTCAATGAACGCTTGCTTAACAAGGACAACAACATACTTCAGAAGAAATCCAATTCCAAAGCCCATATCGCTGTTCTTCTGATGAAACCAGCCTCCAACAACATTCCCCAATCCACCTCAACGCCAATTTCTATAATATTTACATAAATTCCCCTTATCCTCTTTGCTAGATCTTATCGTAAATATTAAAAATTTAATTCGAAATTCGAAAGAAATTATGGATAAATCAAAGAAAGAAAAATGAAGTCTGTACTCGGTCATCCATGCTCGGCCTTGAGCATTTGCCATGGAAGCAATGGCTTAGGGCCACTCATTTTCAAACGCCCCGAATTTTGTGTTCTATGTGTATTGTATATATTTGTGTTTTCAGGTATTATTTGGTCTTGGACACGTGTCATTGACACGTGTGATTACTGAATTCATTAATACCTCTCTCGCGAACAAAACATACAGTCATACATACAATGGCAACGGCTACAGTGCCTAAATTGGAAAACCCTAGAAACTGTACCGTTCACAATTCGAAGCTTCAGACTATCGAAGAATTGTTATCAAATGAGATACCAGCATCTTCAGGTGGAGGCTTCGAGGAATCCGAGGGTAAATCGACGGCTGTGGCTGCGGCGGCGACAGCTAACGATGCCGATGGCGGCGCTGCTGACACTGATATTCAGAAGAAGGCGAAGCGTGCTGAGCGGTTCGGAATGACAGTGCATTTATCCGAAGAGGAGAAGCGCAATTCTCGAGCCGAGAGGTATTACAATTTTTATTTTTTTGCTTTAATTAGGGATTTGCAGCAATTGTTCATATTTTGTGCTTCGCAAGCTGGAACTAGGTCTTTCTTTAGCGCCTACATATCTGCATTATTTTTTTTGCCTGCAAAACAAGCTGTATGATACCTAAATTTAGGATAATATACCTAAATTTAGGATAATATCCCAGAGGATTTAACTTGTTTCAGTGAAGATGATTCAAAGTGAGTTGAGGCCTTGGCCTTTTGCTTTATTTGATATTTTTGTATGTACTTATTTTAGTGGGTTAATGTCTTCGTTGTACTGAAGGTTCGGCGCCAGTTCTGCTGCCAACAAATTAGATACTTCCAAGCCATTAGAGGAGCTGAAGAGGAAATCTCAAGCCGAGAGGTCTGTCTCTGTTGATATATTGTGTTGAATGAAAAGTCTTTTTCTTTTTGTTGAGTTCGTTGACCCGTTTTTTGGTTGCTCCGTAGGTTTGGAATCGTTCAATCTGATCCATCTGATGAGGAAGCGAAGAAGAAGGCTAGACAAGCTAGGTTTGAGTCTTTCTCCAAGGCCGATTCAGTGGAGGAAGATAAAAGGAAAGCGAGGGCAGTTAGGTATTTGTTCATTTGATGCGTCTACTTCCTTTTGTTATGATGTATTAGCACATGACTTGCATTTACAAGTGTGAGATATCCTAATCTATCATAATGCAGGGTACATATGAATGACAGTTTTCAGTAGTTAATTTGACGAGTTAGTTCCTACACAATTTTGCAGGTTTTCACAGCCGGATTCTGGTTCGAAGGCAAATGGAAAAGGGAATGCTGACGTGGTAAATTATGCCTACGTATTTATAAGAACCAGATCTGTTAATCGACATTCTAATTTTTATCCCTGCTGCTTTTAATGGTTGACCGAATTTCAGAAGACAGCTATTGCTGAAACGGCCGATGGAGGAACTTAAACGAGCATTCACTGTTGATCAATAGTAAGAGACACTTGTAGAATTCATTTATTGAAATTTTTCTTGTTCAAATCATCAAATGTATTAAAATCAGAGCAATTTCGACTCCTAACTGTTTTGGTTCGTCATATTCCTAATGGTTTATTCTCTTGTTCTACTTTAAGGGCAGTTGCTAAGGAGCTGACTTCTTGATCTCCATCCTGTTGCTTACAGAGATTTTACGTGACCTTCAGTTGACATACAAAGGATTCTCCTTTTCCTTTTTTTTTTTTCCGGTATTGTTTACATACGTTTTCCTAGTGAGACCTGAGCTAATTAACAGCAACCTCCTCTAATTAACATGTCTGAAGTCATCTATCAACCGTATCAAACACTAACTTAATGCCTAAATTAGGTCTTTCAAGAGTCTTGCATAAAATGTTCATCATTTATGGTCTGACATCTTGTGCCGCACGAAAAGTATTTTTGAGTTGTGTAAGATACTGGTTAGTTTTTTAACCGTTCATAGTTTCAATAGAATATGTTGATGTAAGATTATCCTCCAGTCTTCCGCATTCTTGAATGTTAAGGATTTATTTTTATACGTATCAAAGGGTCTCTTGTGAACCAAAGAATAGCAACATTTTTCAACTTTTCTTGGGATGTATTTTGTTCGTACTGCCTTAAGCTAAGAAGAAACGTAAGAGTCTGCATGCGAATGCTTTTGGTGAAAATATTTCAAGAATTTCATGGATTCACTGACTAACATAGTCTCTACAGCATTCATGTCCTGACAGAATCAATAACAGAGTTAGAATATATATGCATGGTATTTTGAAAAAAAAAACGAAGCGAGTATAATTGAGTCTTCTTACTTATGAGATAGTTAATATGGTCATATTTGCGTCAATAATACGGTACGGTTGGGTCGTTTGAGATAGATTAACATGGAGGAGGTGCTTGTCAATTATACATGGTCTCACTAGGCGGTATGGTATCTGCTATTTTTGTTAAATGCTTTGAAATCACTGAAGAAATCGGCTTTGTTAAGAAAACTTGTATGGCATTCATCAAATTTTGTAAAGTCCAAACGACGAGGAATCCTTCTCTGGTTTCGAACGGCGTCTTTACACCTTGTACTGATGTAAAACATGTTTATTATTTTATTTTTGTCTGTTGATTTGTTTTCCTGATTAAATAGCTTCAGCTATAAGAAGAAGAAAAATATGCTGAAGAAAATTCGTATTTTGTTTTTGCAAGTATTTATAACTGGTAGTTATTAAATAACTCATTCCAGTGGGGAAATTAACAAAAGCTCAGAGTTTTGTTTGGTAGCTGATTTGGCTGTAAATCAAGACAGTCAGTATCACGAGTGTGTAAGAAAGTGATTGACGTCGATATTTTCTACATATTCACTGAATAAATTGTAATATATTTATTAAATTTATTATTTTTCTTTTGCTTTAGCTTTTCACAGTATTTCTGTTGATGTGGTTCATTCAAGAATCACGTTGTCTCCATGAAATTGTACCGTTTTCTTTTCCCAGTTTTTTTGGCTTTACAGACATGCATCTGAATTCACTGATTGTTCAATTGCTAGTTATTGCAGAGTGGAACACACTTTTCTTGTGTGTGTGTGTGTGTGTGTGTGTGTGATTTTAAACTTGCTTCAAATCCCCATGTTCATGAGTCTTAAATATTGGTAAAACAAGTGATTATGCATATTAGTTATTTATTCAGACCAATCACTCTCTCCCTATACTGGGAAAAAAAAGAAAGAAGATTACGGAAAACACCCTCAACGATATATGCAGTGTGTTCCATTAGTCTAACTAACCAACACTAATCATTTTCGAACGACGACGTCTCTCCATTGAACTTTGCAGTTGTTCTTTAGCATGCCTTAACGCATCGAGCACTTCCTTCACCGTAGCATCAAGAACTTCTGGATCAACCGTTTTGTGTTCCGGTGGCTTATCGATCGAGACTATAGCCATCGAGTTATCTATCTGGCTCTCGGATTCTTGATTAAGTTCCTCTTCGGTAGAAGATGTACCACTATTTATATACAAGATTTCACAATTAGAAAAACAAATACACCACAAGTAGAACTAACACATAACAATAATAATAAATTGCATAATAGTTAGAAGACCTCACCTTTGCTCATCCATCTTAATTGTGTCATTTTGTGCCTCGATTTGATCCAAATTCTCCGAGGCTGCGTTAGTTTCCATTTCACGTTTCTGTTCTTGAATTTCGAATGCAGCACTTGAACTCTCGTCTGCTGTGGAGTTTTTATCATCAAGGCTCGATGAAGAATTTTGCGAATCGTTTTGCTGCAGATTTTCCGACCCTTTTGAAGACGATTCTAGCAAGTTCTCCTTCAATCCCCGGCTTTCGATTTCGATTTGCTGATTTTCATAGTTTTCTTGAAGTTGTTCGGTAGTGGGAGAATTTGTGGATGATGATACGGATGAAACGTCGCTTTTCTCAACCGAGCACGAGTATCCCGATTCGTCCGAGACGTACGCAATGTTCATGGATTGAAGCTTCTTCATCAGCAACTTCAGCCTTTTCTCAGCTCTGTTTCTTGATTCAGCCTCTTGTTTCAACAGAGTTTCCAGCTCCATCAACTGTGTTTTTTCAGAGATCAAGAAATCACCAGTTGAAAATAAAAGAATGAAAAGTTCACACACACATAAACACAAACACACAGACAGCAATATATATATATAAATACCTTGTTTCCCAAATGCTCTGCCTCCTCGTTGGCATTTTTAGAAGCCACTCTCTCTGCAAGCAGTCTCCCTCTCAAACAATCCACTGTCCTCAAACTATCTTCTTCTTCCACTTTCTTCTCACTGAAACCCAAAAACAAAAAAAACAAAAAAAAAAAACCCATTTTCAGATATTTCAAAATTTAAAATAAGAGGAGCAAAAAAAAAATTAAAAAAAAATGCCATTGATTTGTAAAGAAACTGACCCCAATTTTGAATCTGCATTGCCCTCCACACTCATTGTTGATCCAAGCTATTTGTGTAAGTATACTAATAATCAGTTAAAACACCCCCACTGGAACTGAAGAAGAAGAACACTTTTTGCTTTGTCTGCTTTTGTTTGTCCCAGATTATATTTAAACAACTGATTAACATTCAGGAATTTATAGGGAATTTAAATTTACATAAACTATTATTTATTTAAATCATTGAGAGTTTTTACCTGTGTATGACAGGGCCTTTTTGGAGTTTTGTCCCCCACACCATAATTAATGTATCTTCTGCCTTCTCAATTTCTTTATAATTAAAGTTTTTAACTGTTCTCACTGCACCTCTTGTAACTCTTCATTTATTGCACTGCAACTCTTTTCTTTTTGCTGATTTTTGTTAAAGGGAAAATCAATTTATTTCAATTTTCTCCTTTTCTTTATTAATAATCTCGAAGATGTTAATTTCATCATTTATTTCAATTTTCCTTGTAATTATTTCTGCAACTCCATACATTAGTTAACACGTGTGCATGTTTAGTTAGAATTGGAGAATTGTGTTCCTATTTTATTGCAATTCACTTTAGAATAGGTAATGCTAACAAAAAAAGTAGTGGAGTAAAACTTATTTTTAATTTTTAATTATTTTTCTAAATCAAATTTGCAAGTCTATTAAGGTGGTGTTTGCAAATGCTTTTTGAAAGTGATTATGCGGTTTTTTTTTCTCATAATCTGTTTTTAGGTGTTTGCAAAATCAACTTTTGCTTTTGCTTCTCTTAAAATAATCTGCTTTAAGCTATTTTTTTAAAAGCACCCCTAACCCTGCTTTTTCAATTTTAGTTCATTTTCCGAAATATTTGCAAACACCCCCAACTTTTAAAAATAAGCACTTAAAACTAACTTAAATCACAATCACTAAATTCTGCTTTTAAATAATCATTTGCAAACACCACCTAAATCCTTAGTGATTTATTTAAATAATAATTTTTATTTTACCATATAATATTACTATAGCGAATATTTGGAAGTAATTATTTGTGAGTATAGAAAAAGGACATGGAATTTGTGACCAAGTATAGTCACATGTAGCCGGTGCCGAATTCATTCATTATAATTTATTAATTATTTATTATTAGTTATTACCCCACCGCTCTGCATGCTTTCACTCTTGCCTCGGTTTCTTAAACTTCACAATTTTGGCTTTGCTTCATGTGTTAATAGTCAAAAATACCCCCACCATAGACTACATTTGCTTCGCCACCAACTTTAATTAATTAAATACAATAAAATTAAAACTATGCTTAATTACGTTTTAACTTTTATTTTCTTATAATTGAAAGTGGATATGTAAATTGATGATGTAATAATTAATGATTGCATTCATAACTCATGATGAGGGAGCTGGAACTGCTGGGAGGTGTTCATCACGCTCCTAACTTTTAAATATTTTTATTTTCAATTTTCATTAATCTTGTTTGAGAAGCTAAGCTGAACAATGGGGCAGCCATTATATTAAAGTAACTTGCACTAATCATATTTCTCTCTTTTTTTTTTTTCCAATATTCTTATTTTCTTTACCGTTGATTAATATTTATAATAAAATTTGGTAGATTAGATTGCACTCCAAGTCATCTTTTTTTATGATTTTATTTATTTACTTATATATAACATATTTTTTTTTTGATAATTATTAAAAAAACAAAGAATGGAAAATAAAAGAAAAAGAAGCTGTGGTCAGCCCAATCAAGCCTAATAAATAAGTATTTACAGACCGATAAATTAATTTGTGGGCTATATTATGTTTCTCACAAAGCCCAAATCAAGCTGGTTTTGTTAGGATAAAGTTGTGGGCTATTAGTTCCATTACATGGTCTGGATTTTCTAAATTAATAAAGTCAGAATTATAAATTTGGCCCAAAATAATCTTTTATTAGAAAAATAAATTATTAATACAAGAAAATATTTGATTTTCTCTCTCTAACAAAACAGCTAACACTAAACCAAAACCACACACTAAAGAGTCAAACAACACGTGATGTTCCATCCTTTGTACAAACAATTCTTTCTATCTTCACCACTAGATGTTTTTCTAACGTTGGATAATTTGCTTAGACCATTCCATTAATTTCCTATTGAATGTTTTATTCCTTTATTTTTCATAATTACTATGTTCATTAGTCATTACCAACTATTTATTGAAGATGTCCGAAGCAGATTTGGGTACGTACCATGCACCTGAAGTAATTGGGTGTTTGGCTGAACTTATTTTAAACAGCTGATATGCTCTTACGTCTGATAAGATGTTTTAAGAGCTGATAAGTTGTTACATCTTATTTTTAGGATTAATTTTTAGAGTGTTTGGATAATGAGCTTATTTCTTATTTTTACTCATTAAAAGATCTTAAATAAAAAGGTGGGGTAGAGGTACTTATTTAAAAAGATCTTACTTGCTCTCTAACAACTTTTTATTTAAGATCTTATAATGAGTAAAAATAGGAAATAAGTTCATTATCCAAACACTCTAGAAATTAATCCTAAAAATAAGATGTAACAGCTTATCAGTTCTAAAAACATCTTATCAGACGTAAGAGCTTATCAGCTGTTCAAAATAAGCTTAGCCAAACACCCTCTAAGTTTAGCCAAACGCCCTCTAAGTAGTAATTATCGAATTTAAGCTCAAAATAATTACACTTAATTCAATAATTTGTAAAGTATGAGCAATAAAGAACAACAATCTCTTTACATGGTCTAATTGTAATTATTACTACTAATTAATTGAGTAATTTCATCACATGTTTATTCTATGTACTGATTTCGGCATTAATTTTACAAGATATATTAATTAATTAATTAATTATAATTTATAAGCATTCTTGTATATTCAGCCTGGTGTTGCCACCGCCGCCGTAGACGGCGAGATCATCCAACAACCGCCGGATCTCACGGCGGACATCATCTGTGGGGAGGCGGTGGCGGCAACAGGGACACGTGTTTCTCTTCTTCAGCCAACGGAGTATGCAAATCCAGTGGAACAAATGGCCGCACGGCAATTCGCACACCTCTCTCCCTTTCTTCATCTCCTCCTTACATATCACACATTCCCCTCCTCCCCCCACTTCCACCGACGGCAGCGCCACCACCGCCGCCGCAGACGCCGCCGCCTCCCTCCCCTCCTTCTCCCCTCCACCACCGCCGCTAAACCCCATTAAATTAACCAAATTCCAGCATCTGCTCACAGATTCAACGAATTGGGTCAAAATTTCTGCACTGGAGCACCCACCGAAACTGGATAACCTCAAAACCGAATCAGAAACGTAATCGGATAGAACCACGCGCCACCGCGAAGGCGGCGCGTCGAGGAACTCCCGATCGTGTTGGTAGAGTTCGCATAGAAGGAGAAGGAGGAGGACCGCGTCCAGGTCCCGGAGTTTCATGTGCGCGGCGGAGTACAGCGGTGGTGCTGCGGTGGCGGCGGAGGTGCTGTCTCGAACAAAGTGGTGGAGAACGGTGAGATTGGACAAGAGGTGGCGGGCAATGAGGAAGGACTTGTGGTGGAGGGAGAGAGACTGGAGGTGGCGGAGAGTGAGGGAGAATATGGTCGGGGAGGAGAGGAGAGAGGTCAGGCGGCGGAGGTGGCGGCGGAAGAGGGCGGAGATGGAGTGTGTTAGATGAGAGAGGTGTGAAGATGGGAGATTGGACAGCGCCGCCGTGATTATGGTTTCTGCAGAGCCGATATAGTTTGCCATTATCACACGTATATTAGTGTGTGTGTGTGTGTGTGTCTGTGTGAGAGAGAGAGATATATATATAAGCAATGAATTTTGGTAATGAGAAAAAGGGTGTTTAAACACAAAGGAGCAAGATTATCTTATTACAATTGACTTGTCATTTTTCTTGCATATACATATATCTGGATAATTACAAATAGATGAAATAAATTGTGTGCGCCTAATTTCATTTTTGGATGCCATGCACACATGTTGTGTAGCTGCAATCAGCCAAAAATTAACAGTGTAAATGGAAAAAGTAGGATATATTATTAATAATATTATTATTACAATACCAAGTTGGGATTGTTACATGGTATTTCTTCACTTGCTTGTATATTTCATTATGCAAAGTTTGTAGTCCCAATACTTACTTTTGTGCAGTTTCATTACTCCAAGAAATTTATTCAATTCTTTTTATTCCGATCGAGTCAAACATAATTTTTTTTTATTTACTATTCTTTTTTCCCGCAAAATAAAAATAAGATGACGAATTTTCAACTTATAATAAGTGAAATTAAATTGAGAAGTGGGAATTAGGGGGGAAAGAAAAAGGTAGAGTAGAAACTGAATCTGTTAAAGAATAAAGGTGGTAAAGTGTGGGAAAGATATCAATAACCTAGATGGAGAGAATTTTATCTAAAGCAAAAAACATCAGATCCAAAGCAAACAATATATTTAATTAAAACAGAACAAAGTGAAAAGAAACATGGGTTGTTTCTATGCTACACCTAGTGAAGGTTACACATGGTGAGATTTTTTACCGTTGATCTACACACACCAATGTTAATGTGTGTGTGTTTGTGTGCTTATGAATAGTAAAGATCTACCCGATAATTTTCACCGGGTGTGGCATAGTATAAACCAGAAACATGGGGCAGTAAGTAAACATGAGCACACTTTCAAAGTTAAACAAAGAAACACCCAATTAGTGCAAATTTTATATCATATTCCAAATGTAAAATAAAATTGAAATAAAATATTTTATAATAATAATAAAACACAAAAGAATTTAGGAAATGTGGTTAGTGGAATAATTGGGCATCATGGGATGTATGGTTAATAATGAAGTAGCATGGGATGTAAGAAGGGAGTGGATGGGAAATGTTGGGGCTCTTGTCCACAAGTTTGTGTCCAGTTTCAAGAATGGCTCACACTTCATCCACTTTTCATTATCACTGTTTAATAATCTGATAACAACAAATAACAAGACTATAAACTACACCTTGCCCCATATATCTACTCTATTTATCCTTTGTCCCTACAAAAATACAGCAAATTTATATGATGCATCTGGTGCACTGATCCCTAAGGCACTCTACTCTGCCTCCTCCATAGTTTTTTTTTTTTGGTATTAAATCGGATTTTATATATTACGAATCTTAATTTGTGGTCATCTGCCTTAAAACGGTACTTGAATAAAACGGAGGGAGTAATTTGCTAGTTCGACAAAATATATGAAAGCAACTACTCATGATATATGCAGCAGCATAAAAGAGTAAGCACAAAAGTTCCGAGTGGTAAGGTAGAAGATTAAGAAAGGGTTATTGATGTGGACCAGAATGAATTATGAATGCATGGCAAAGGGTCGAGGGGATTCGACCCTTTACTACACCTATCACATATGTATCTATATTTTTTTTTACATATATGAGAATCCTATGTGACTGTGATGCTGATATTCTAATGGGCATTTAGGACATTTTTAATATGAAAATGAGTTTAGACAAGAAAATAGAAATACTATTCTAGACAAGTAAGAGCTACATATCTCACCAGCCAAACCTCTGATTGCTTGAATTTCGATCGCAACGGCTATAGCTGCAACTTAGTCCGCGAAACTTTCCAATTCCACCTGACTAAAAAAAAAGAGACAACTTCAATCATCTTTAGAGGGGGAAATTAAAATGATAGTTATTAGTGCACACAAGTTTACGCTAAAATTTCTTACTGTTTCAGTTGTTTATATCTTTCGGAATTAGACCCCTTGCCCCGGAGAATATACGTTCTGTTCCATCAATTTCAACAATCTAAAAAACATAATATACTTTTGTTAAATTCTCTCAATTGTAGCACCTCCAGAAGTATCTATTCGGCTACTGCCAGCGACTTTCTTGAACCCAGTATTAGCCAATTTCTCTCTGACCCTCTCAGCTTCTTCCCACCGACCAGCTTTCGAATACAGATTCGCCATAACAATGTAATTAGTAGGATTATCAGGCTCCAATACAAATAAATGATCACAAACAAACTTAGCAAGTTCGACGTCGCCACTTTCCGAAGCCCCACTGAGCAGTGCTCCCCAAACTTGGGCAGTAGGTTCAATCGGCATTTTCTTTACGAATTCCACCGCTTCGAAAAGCTTCCCTGCTCGGCATAGGCATGCAACCATACACGCATAGTGATTAACCAAAGGGTCAATCCCGTAATCAGGCAACAAAGAATCGAATATTTCCCAAGCTTTATCTACTAGCCCTGCATGAGCACAAGCTGCCAATACAGCAGTAAACGTGACATTATCCGGCTTTGTCCTGCTGTTCAGCATCTTCTCAAATAGATCGAGTGCCATGATAGCATCTCCGTGAGCTGCATATGCTGAGATTATTGACGTCCAGACAATCACACTCCTCTCCGCTGCTAGATCAAATACTCTCTGTGCTCCACTGAGAAATCCAAGTTTTGCATATGCATCTATTGTTGCAGTAATAACATAGATATTCCTATCAGAACTGATTTTGATAGCATAAGCATGAATTTCTTTTCCTCCTCTTAAATGCGAGATGTACGGAATGGCTGGAAGAATACTTGAAATCGTCACACTGTTAGGCTTCAAACCAGAATCTTGCATTTGACGAACTAAATCTAAAACATTATCGTACTGATTGTTCTGAACCCGACCCGAAATTACAGCATTCCAGCTACTCAATCCTGGCTTGCTCATTTCCCTAAATACCTTCATAGCTTCATCAACAAACCCATGGACCATGTATCCAGATATAATCGTGCTATAAGTTATTTCATCTTTCTCAGTCATCTCTTCAAAAAGCTCCCTGGCATAGTCCAAGCTCCCACATTTTGCATAAACTGCAATAATTGAATTACAAAGTGAGAGATCCATTTCAATCCCACTATCAATCACATGCCGATGCACTTCCATCCCAAAAACAAGGTCAGTCGATTGCGTACACGCATGCAAAACGCTCACAGCTGTAACCCCGTCTGGCCTTAGATCTTCCAAAGCCAACATTGCTCGATACAAATCCTTGCATTCCTTATAAAACCCACCTTGAGTGTATCCCGAAATCATTGCATTCCAAGATACCAAGTCCCTCTCAGGCATTTCATCGAACAACGCCCTTGCAGACACCAGATCATCACACCTTGAATAGTACGTCACCAACCCGTTGTCAACAAAAACATCCAAATCAAGCCCATTTTTAATCACGTAACAGTGAGTCATTCCAGCCAAAACAGGCCGACCCAATACCACTTCCGACATCGCCTTGAGCACACAACTCAAAGTAAAACTGTCCGGCTTAACATCCTCCAAATCCTGAAAATCGTCCCCACGAGACAAACACAAGGTAAACAGTTTCAACGTTTCAGCGTGACGGCTGTGCACGGAGTACGCAATGAGAATAGCGTTAAAGGCGAAGGTGTTCTTGTGGGGAATTTCGTCGAACACGTGACGGGCATAAGAGAGCTGGCGGGTTTTGGAGTAGAAAGCCATGAGTTTGGAGGCGAGAAAGTTGTCTCCGACGGTGGAGAGGAGGATGAGTCTAGCGTGGAGCTGCTTAGCCTGGCGAGAAAGGCGGCGGTCGGTGCAGCGCTGGATGAGGCGGCCGTAGAGAGTGTAGTTGATGGGTTGGCCATTGGGAGGTGTGCTTTGCAGGAGAGATTGAAGGGCTTGTCGGCATAATGGATGTGTGAGTTTCATTCGAATGTGCAAGAATTGAGTTTGGCGCTTTCGTTATTCTGACTTCACCGGCGGCATATGAACTGAAGATTAGCCATTACTCGCCGCCTATTTAAAAACGCCGCCGTTTAAACATTGTATTAAAGTTTCATATGGACCCTGCATAAAGCCCAACGGCTAATCCACGGATTTTCTTCTTATTTTTCCAATTTAAAATTTGTTAATTTCATCTAATTTTTAGGGCTTTATTCCACGTGATAAATTTATTGGAGTCAAAAAATTATTTATATGATCATTATTGAATTAAGCAAATGAAACTAAAGGTGGACAGAGAATACACCGGATAAATCTTTATCGTTCGTCTGTACACACCAACATAGATGTGTGTATTTCATTCGGTATTAGCCGAATCGGCACCTCCAGAAACATTTGATCAATAGGCTACATATTCTAATATAATTTCCAAGAAAATCATCGGCAATCATTAACTTGCTCAAGAATTTAACGCACATATTATTTGCTACCAAAAATGTTAAAGCAATAAGAAATTTTCTGCTTTCCTTAACAAGATCTGGAAAAAGTTGGTCGCCTGAAGGAACCCGTAATTTCAGCTGCATGAACCCTAATCCGGGACTCGCAGGTCACAACGGACTAGATATCTCAAAATCATTCCGAACAAAAATAAGGGGAATTTCAATTCGGGCATAAAGTTTCACCATCAAATAAAAGAAAAGGCTAATAGAGAATTTGCACTGTGATTTGATTATTGAGACAAAAGCCTCTGTTCTTGGTAATATATGCATGCATGGCCAAAGCTTGGGATGGGAAGCGAACGAGTGCCATTCTGATCGGGCCTTGACTTGTGGGCCTGCAACACAAAAAAAAAATGTTAGCCACTTTCAGCTGAAAAATCTGTGCATGATCTTCTCATGAGACAAAAATTACGTTTTCGGCATTAACCTGACAAACATCTGAACGGAAGATGAATCATACAGGCAACCGGAAAGGGTGCGCTCGACGTCATCCATCAAGGCATTGCGAGGAATTCCATGCAGTAAAATCTGAAATAAGCAGAAATGAATGAATAAATATACAACTTAAGAGTGTATTCTATCTAATAACTTGTCGAGTTAATGTACGAGGAATGTTTTAAATCCGTTCAGAAGTGTATGAAGCAGTGTGTCATTTATTGAACTTGAAGTCGATACTGAAAATAAAAGAATAGATGCTTGAGAGAACCAAGACTTATTATCCTCACCGCTTTTCCATCATAAGGAGCATGAGTATCCCAATCAGATTTATCAACCTGAAATCAAGTTTGCAGAGGAATCAAGATTAAGGGAATATTAACGATTTAGATGATAAAAGTAGCAGCATGTAAGAAATTACCTTCGTAAGATTATACAAGCGGCCCTTCCTGCTAATTGCCCTGATAGCAGCATCAAAAACTGTTCTAGATGGAAATTCAACCATCCTACAAAAGACAACCATATGGGTATACCATATACAAGTATTAAATGAAGCACCTATGATACAATGCTTCGTAATGAATCAAATGCAAAAATAGACCAGATAATCAACAAAACCATATAAAAGATTTATTTCTTTATTTCATTTTTTTTATCTTTGTTTCGAAACTTCTTTTTTTGCGGGTGGAGCAGTGTGAAAACTGAGGCACACATTAAGTGTGGAGGAAAGTCGTGCAAAAACATTCAAAAAGACTCGGGCTGAATTTACATATTTTCACATTATAGCCTTTTGCGACATTACAGATTGGTTATTCAAATACGGATATCTGTCAAAAGATTAACATCTGTAGTCAACGTGCAAAAAAGAAAAAAACACAAAACACATCAAGTACATTACTCTTTAGTATTCAGCATAAAGATTTCTCATGTATAAAGACTGTGTATTCCGTGAAAAATCTTACATTGACACTGGAAGATAACTTCGACCATATTCAACTTTGAGATTTTCCAGATTCAAGTTGCACCCTTCAAGCAAGTTGATTATATCACTTTTCGTCGTGTGCTTCGTGATACTAGTGAGTTTTCCATAAACCAAACCTGAAAACGAGCGAAGCGCATAACATATAACATAGAAATTTCGAATGATCCATCAGTCCCTAATATCGTAAAACATCAACAACAATTCAATCAAAAGATCTGATGTAGGCAACTATATTCAAAATCAATTTTGTCTGTTTCCAGTCGACAAATTAATCAGTAAGTGTTAGAGAGGGCACATATCTAACACTAACAGTATTATTATATTTAACACTTTGTAAACTTATTAGACTACATATTTCCTCTTGGTTATACTTACTACACTAAAAAATCATATTCTCAACAAGCAGATCAAATGTTATCAATAAAGCATCAATTTCTAAAATAATTGAAATCAATAATTAAAAAGAACCTGAATAGATAAATATAGAAAGCAAAAGGAAAATGTAAATCAATCCCATTATACTAAAAGGTAAACCTATATTACCCCGAAACCCTAGATGAAATGCCAAAAAATAGAAGAAAAATCAAATAAAACGAAACTGAAATGAGTAATAATATATATGAATGAGAAAATGGTGAGAACCAGTGGGCGGGGTTCGAAGAAATTGATCGTTGGTGGAGCCGAGAATCGGCTCTGATGCTTCGGTGGAGAATAGCTTCGGCGAGATGAAGAATGTGGAAGGCAGCCGCGGATTCGGCCGAGCCGTTTCCATTAGGCGGCTCAATTTCATGGCGGCTCGGATGAGCTTACTCATCTTTGCTGGTTTTTCTGATGTCGTCGGAGTGATAAATCACTGGAACTGGTCTAACACTGGGGTTTTGCTGGTGAGTTTGGGAAGTCAGAGCGTATGCGACGTCGTATTAAGACTTGAAAATTGTAGTTAGACCCCTAAAGTTTATATGATGTAGATAATTCGCCTCGTAATACTTTTTTTATTTGTTTATATGACTGGATTGTGTTGGGCCTATTACGTTCAGTCTATTTATGAATTGGGCTTTTTAGAAAGAGGAGTTAATAGTCAAAATTAATTATTTTAGTTGGTTATACGAATAAGGGTCCGTTGGGCTAACCTTATTTTAAATAATTGATAAGCTCTTGCATCTGATAAGTTGATTTAAGAGTTGTTATTTTTTATTTTTTGGAATAAATTTTTAATAAAATTCTGAATAATGCGCTTATAAATTATTCTTAGTCATTATTAAATCTTAAATAAAAAGGGTTAAAATTAATATCCTTTATATATATGTAAGTAAAATAAATCTTAAATAAAAAGGGTTAAAATTAATATCCTTTATATATACGTAAGTAAAATAATATTGACAATTTCACTCTCATAGTGGATTTCATAACACGAGTGGGAGTATATGTTTATGATATTCTCAATTAAAAAAATAGAAAGTTATATATGCAATTTTTTTTTCTTTTTTTTTTTTTTTTTTGATGGGATGAGAAAAAAAGTTATATATATGTAGTCTGAATAGAACCTGGCTAGATGTGATAAGTCCGGTAGTTACTATGATAAGCAAATAGCCAAAGTTCCCACCACTACTTATTGCATGAAAAAAAATGAAAGGCACATCTGGTCTGAGCTCACGTGCATTTGATTTATTGTCTTTAGCCAGCACATTAATATAATTAATATACATATAAAGTTATTATGGTAAATTATGGCCACGAAAAATCCTGTATTGTTTTGGTAAATCACCAATATCAAATATGAATTAATCTTTTTATACGTTTACTATATTGCGGTGTCAATTTTAGTGAAATCTTCTAGATTGTGTAAAATATTATCCAATTTGTACCCATTTTACTTCATTAGAGCTTCACATTTTAATACAAGATGATCATAAGATGTGTCTCTTGACTTGTAAATATCAGATTGTGGTGTATTAGAAACCCTATTTTTCACAAAATGAATAAAAACTAAAGAAACATTACACGGAATCTAGAAGATTATGTTGAATTTGACAACATAAGGACTGATTTGTTTGAAGATTCACAGTGACGGGGTGATTACGTTGATTTACCCAAGGTTTTTCTGCAATTGAACTTTAATTACCTTAGTGGTGGCCATAATTTACTATATGTAAATAGTAAAAAAAAAAAAAAAAAAAAAAGGGAAAATGAATAGAATAAAAAAAATAGTAAAAAAGTTATTCTCTATTAAAAATAAAATAAAAAGGGTTTTAATAAAAGGTAGGCCCCGCAAAGGGAAAATGAATAGAATTAGTCAAAGAATTATTTATTGTATTATCCCAAGAAAAAAAGAATTAATTTGTCTTGTCCAAGTGGTAATGTGGTACCCATTTGGTATGTGGTCGTACGTACCTCTACATTCATTCCATCAATTCTTACATAAATCATAAGCGCACCTTCTTCAATTTTGCAATAAAAAAAGTTTTTCAAATACAAACTCCACTGCTTCCTCCCAAAATTTCCCACTTCATCTGAGGAAGGTTTCTTCCAAAATCCCACACAACTTTTTTCATTCATTACTTTCACCTAATTTCCCATCATATATATGTATAAATAATTTATTTATTTACTTTTAGAATATAATATATATATTACCAACTTTTGTACCTTATATTGTACCTGCAAACTTTGCAGCTAATTTTTTTAGGTAAACTTACGTCAACTAAGCTAGTAGCTATGGAGTGGGAATGGGCGTTGGAATTCTTGAAGGGGATGATAAAGCCGGCGGCGGCGCTGGCGGTGGTGGCGCTGGCGGTGGTGATGTCATACTTTCAGAAGCTGGGTTTGGAGGGAGAGATGGTTTATTCAATTTTAAGGGCTTTTATACAGCTTTCGATCATCGGCTTTGTCCTCGAGTTCATTTTTAATCAGAAGAATGTTCTCTGGATTATTCTCGCTTATCTTTTCATGGTAACTATATCTATATCTATATATATACATACATATGTGTGTGTGTGTTTCTGATCGATCGATCTTGCTTTTTTAAGAGAAACGTTCTTGATCGATCGTTTTTCATTTTTCTTCTGGAGAAGGTAAATATATTGTTGTCCTAATTAATTATATTATATAATTTGTTCAATATAATTGTGTCATGTATGTAGGTTTTGAATAAATAATTTTTATAATTCAAATAAAATATTTCTAAAATCACGATCCACAAATTATAATACTAAGTCTTGGATGAATTTTATATTAACATGTACATTCGACGACTAATTATAATCAAGTGTTTCTTGCACGTCTCATGCATTTTCTTGATTTATTTATTTATATAACGTTTACATCTTGGAAATTTTTTACTATATGCAAATGTTTATGCAAATTTAATTATGTATGCAGGTTACTATTGCGGGTTATACAGCAGGACAACGTGCGAAGCACGTGCCGAGGGGGAAGTATGTGGCCGGATTGTCGATTCTCGCCGGAACAGCCGTCACCATGTTTCTCCTCGTCGTACTACGTGTCTTCCCTTTCACTCCCCGGTACATCATCCCCGTCGCCGGAATGATGGTCGGCAACGCCATGACCGTCACCGGCGTCACCATGAAAAAACTCCGTGACGACATCAAGATGCAAATCAATCTGGTATATATACACACACTCAGCGAGGGTACCTAGGAGTAGATTGGGGTTCCCCCCTCCCCCCCACCCCCGAGAAATTTTTTTTACAATTTTTTATTTATTTATTACTTATGTATTAGTTAATGCACTTTCGTCCCCAAACTTCTGATGATGATTTGTTTTGTCTAGGTGGAAACAGCGCTAGCACTGGGGGCGACGCCACGTCAGGCGACTCTACAACAAGTGAAACGGGCGCTGGTGATAGCACTATCGCCGGTGCTGGACAATGCAAAGACCGTTGGATTAATTTCACTCCCCGGAGCGATGACGGGGATGATAATGGGCGGCGCGTCGCCGCTGGAGGCCATACAGTTACAGATCGTCGTGATGAATATGCTCGTCGGAGCTTCCACAGTTAGCAGCATCATTTCGACATATCTTTGTTGGCCTTACTTCTTCACCAAAGCTTACCAGTTGGAAACTAAGGTCTTCACTTTGGATTAATTAATTAAAAGTTTAATTAATTGTCTATAAGACAAATTAATTAGTTATTGCAATTTGCAACACAAAGTAGTGCGTGTTCTTGTTCAATTGCCACTCGCCGAATGACACGTGGAGAGTTTAATTTATTTTTGGACTTGATTTAGCTAATAAAATATTATTGGCTAAATTAGGCTTTAAAATGTTTGTTTGTTCTTTTATATATATTTATGTAATCTATAATAATTTCATGTTATAATAAAAGAAAATGAAGATAAATAAGGAGTATAATAAAGTAAAAAAAAAATTATTATTTAAAGCCAAAAATGCACTTAAAAGTTCTCCACCCACACCCATTACTTAGTGCTAAACAGCCTAAACTAACATAGTAAACGGTTCCTATTTTAATAGGGAGCATACTAATCTATTTTTCATTCAATGTATACACGTGTCATGCAATTAGTGGAATTCGACATTCTTCTATCATAAACTATGGGATTTGCTTTTTACCGTTTGAAAAAGGCTATTTACCGTTCAAAAAAACTCTCTCTCTCTCTCTCTAAAAAAAATTGCTCTCAAGACAATTTCTTCACAAATCATTCTTATTGGTGTGATATACGAACATAAATGAATTTATCGAATGAAGATCGGGATAGCGAACACAGCGAGGTAAAAATTCCGTCTTTTCGATCGAAAAAACTGGGCTAAACATTCAAAAGCCCAACTTGGGCGCCCGACAGTGCAGTGCACGCCCATGTTGGGCGTGCAGTTGGCTGTTACACGCCCAT